CTCAACCTTCATAACTGTTGAAGGTATAATTAAACTTGAAACTTAATATGCATTTGGGATCATAATTCACTTGAAACTTATATCATCAATTCGGGATCATAACCAAAGGCTACTATCCTAATTCCAAATCTCTGACATGGATTTAGACTGAATTATGACCCTTTGTGATTTTTTTTAAAGTTCTGGTTTAAGTTTTGCTTTGCAACATTCATATCTTTTATAAAACTACTAATTGTATTCAATCAAAACTTGTTTCATGCTTTTTGAAAAAACAATTCATGATCATATATCAATACCTATATAACTCTCGTATGAAGTTTGAATGAAATAAAGGCCTTTTGTGAACTTAACAAAATCTTTTGTCAATATCCAAGTCTTTTAACATATATTTTTGTGAATGAAATCTTAATTCCTCTCTGTTAATTTTAACATTATCCAGCTTTTTGTTTTACATTTTGTATACGTTTGCTAAACATTAAAGTTTGTCTTCATATGTTATGTTTATGAAAGTTCAATTTTCTTGGTGTAACAAAGGGTTTTGCAAAAAATGTATCTTCGGTTAAATGTTAAGGCCTCCTTGGAAAAAAGCAAAACAATATACTTTTAAAAGGAAAAAGAGTGATGCCAGCACTATTAAGTGTTTAGAATTGAGTACCGCTCAAGCCGGTGCTAGGGGGCGTGGGGGATGTTGCACTTATTCATTATTCCTCATGTACAGACTCAATCAAACCAAATCTGCAATTTTCAAGTAATTTTTTGTGATTAATGCTTCCGAGGGATCACTTTGTTTCAAGATTTTTATTAATGAATGTATCCCTTTTATCGGCTTTAAGTAAGTAAAGGGAATTGGGCAAACATTGCTGTTGAAATCAGCCTGACATCGGACCGATATGCAATGTTTGCTGGGATAAGGTGGAGCAAAATTAATAAGTCCGAAGAAGACCAAAACCAAATGAGGCCAGTACACACACAGAAAACTTGTATCAAATGAGGTAAATGTATGTTAATGATATCAAATACAAAATGCTGATAAATATTTTTAAATTATGGCATGTTTTAATATCTATAGATAGCATCTACAGATTATTATAAGTCGATGATAAGTTAGAATAACTGCATATGCATGTTTGAAGCAAATGATGAGATGATGACGAAAATATTTCTTAAGGGATGTGAACAAATGTCTTATCATTATCAAATTACATGCATTGCACCAATCCAATCACAGCGAAATCACCTTTGGTTTTCACAAAATCTAGGAACGGAGGGTCCATTGACAACAATGAAAACAAAACGCAATTAGCTCTAAACGTAATAGATATAGATTTTATTGTAACAACTGGAATTTGTCCTATTTTGATTTGTAGTTAACTTGAATGATTCTTCTTAAATGCTATTAAATATCGTGATCTCTCATTTTAATATGTAGTGGGCAGGTATGACAAACTTGTAGTTGCAATCATTTTTGATGAATTTTCAAATGATACATCAAGGAAATAAGTGTTAAGGTGATTTGCAATAGCCTGTCAAATATTATTGAATTGTTGGAAGAATAGATATTGGCACATAATTATTTAGGTTTGACTTCTCTCCCTTTTGTGTAAAGATATAACACATGCTAGTTTCGATTTATCTGAAAATATTCCTAGAGAAATACTTTCATTAATTATTGACTTTATTGCTCCCGTTATATATTAATTGTCTTTACATAATTTTAACGTATTTGGACCAATTCCATCAAGGTTTAAATATATCTGCTTAATTTAAATCAATGTCAAATTGCTTACAAATATGTTTAAGTTTTTGAATTAGATACTCTTTCCAACACAATAAATTGTTAAATTAGCATGTATTCGGGTTCAGGCTAATTTTCATTGGACATTATCATTCATACCATTTTTAAATAATTGTTCAGTAAAATTCTTAAAAAGAACCAGAACGGTAATTTAACGTTTTATGCGAATAAGCAATTGCCTTACTTCTTTTAAAACACAATTTATTGTTAACGACAATGGATAGTGATAAATAACTTTAATTAATTTAATTAGATACACCCACATCATAAATATCGGGAAGGGAAGATATGTACAAATGGTCAATTTTAGAGACGAATCTTTAGTTACTCTAGTAATAGATTTTATTATCAATTTTTGTTGGAGACCAGAATCTTAAACAAAATGCGCTTAAATTTAACTATAATTTTATCAAATGTCTTAGAGAGTGAATAATTAATGTTAATAGTTCCAGTTACATATAACACTAGATAATGCAATCCTGCATAAACCCAAGACTGGTTACTGTTAGCTAGGTGGCCAGTATAAGAAATTTAACAATAAAAAATTAAATTAAATATTAACCTGTCCTTTACAATAACTAAACAGATTGATGTCGCGATTCATTTCTATAAGAAACAGTATCTCCTTTCAAAAGTATAATCATCAATTTTGAGATCCTTATACCTTCTTATTCAATCACATAATTATAACAAAGCAATTTAGTTAAAACACGGTCGTGGTTAATTTTGTAATAATTTGAATCAATATTTTTACCATAATTATGATATAATTTAGATTGTTATTATTACAATAATTGGACTCAAGCTTTAAGCTTAATGGGTAACCTACCAACCGACACACCGGCCAACGTACCCAGCCACCTACCTATCAGAATATTGCCAATTCTTCTCGCGAGTGTTATATGATATAAATGCGCATCTGAGTGTTAGTAGAGGTGAAAGAAAAGTAAAATAGTCCTAAAACCGGATTAAACTCCCATGTAATGTTATTATTACTGACCGTTCCAAGGCGGTACCCCTCTGTGTTCATTTACATGTATGTTTTGTGTATTGTTATATGTTTCAAACGTGTCTGCACGTTTTATGATGTCCTATCTTGTTAAATTGTCGTTAACGGTAAACCAGGGTCTTTCAAATTAAAAGATCCTGTGTAAGCATATTCTTTCCTCTTATCCCGTTTTGTGCCTTACCCCTTATACTCGTTGTCCCTTTGTTTCCTGTACTGGCCCATTTAGTTTTAATTATTTTACTAATTACATATCCCTCCCATCCTTTAACCGCCCTTGTGTTTTCTCAAAATTTTCAGTTCGGGGTATCTGGGTGCCCTACTGGTGTGACTGGAATGTGCCGGGGCTGCGTTCCGTGAACGTTGCCTTGCCTCGTTAATCTTTATTCTCATTTTTTTGACATATGGTTTGAGATTAATTGCAACTAGATATGGTATTTATCTTATAAAACATGACGAGTCTACAGTCCAGCCGGCGATGTTCAAAGGATCGCCAGCCCAGTTCTTCTTGCATGGCTGTGAAAATCCCCTTTTACCCATCGTATTGCACGTCTCTGGACCATCTCAACTTTGTCAATTTATTAGTTTTAGTGAAGGGAGACCAAATACTTGTAGGCTTGTTCTTACACTTTTTCATTTTTTTTCATTTACATTCCGTTTTATAAAGCCAAAGGATCTGTTTGCATTGGAAGTTATTCTAGATACAATATACATGTATATGTGTATTAAATTTAAGGTCAGCATAGAGATCTAGTCCGTACGAAAGATCATTAGTGCCAGATGTGTGTATTTTTATTAGCTCGAAATTTCGAGTTAATTATCTCGAAAATTTGACTAATAAACCCGAAATTTCGACTTACTTACTCGAAATTTCGACTTACTTCCCCAAAATTTCGACTAAGTAACTTGAAATTTCGGCTTAGTTTCATTACTAGAATGGCCAAAAAAGTTGTGAGTTACCCAGAGTTTAGTTCAAGTTATGGTATAGCGACGAGACTATTATGTGGAAATATCATGGCCTGGGGCGACATCGAGGGTTTTTTTTCTACAGAAAATGATCGGAGCCGTAAAGCCGAGAACATTTTCTGTAGGGAAAACCCAAGATGCCTCGCCAGGCCATGATATTTTCACATAACAGTCGAATTCGATATACTATAAGTTATTACTTAATCGCATGATAAACATATATAAAATGTTTGATTAGACATAAAATTTAAACATATATTTTGATTCCCTTAATATATTTATTTTAAAAGAAAATAGAATTTTGAGAATTTTGACAACATCTTTTAAAAATGTTTCAAAAATAATATTGGTATAAAGAAACTTGACAGACTAACTGGCGTATACCCGTATACATGCCACTTAAAACTTAGCTTGCACATGAATATTGCACAGTTTACAATAGTAGGGTTTTGGACTTGTGCGTATCTCCACATGATGGTTGTATGTGTGTTTTAGACCCAAGAAACATCCGGTTAACAAAGTCTTATTATTGCCCCCACCCCCACACACAAAAGAAATCTCAGAAAATGGGAAGGATATGTTCGGTCTGTGTGGACAATTTGATTCTATCAAAATACATAGTTGCTCTGTCAATGTGCAACAGCTACACATGAAAGAAAGTATCTTGAATTCAATCCTTGCTTTCACCGGCAACCAATGTAAGTCCTGCAATGTAATAAGTCGAAATTTCAAGTTATGTAAGTCGGAATTTTGGGTTATGAAGTCGAAATTTCGAGTTAGTAAGTCGAAATTTCAATTAAGTAAGTCGATCGAAACTTCGAGTTAGTAAGTCGAGATTTCGAGATAGTAAGTCGAAATTTCGAGTAAATAAGTCGAAATTTCGAGTTAATAAGTCGAAATTTCAAGTTGATTAGTCGAAATTTCAAGATAAATGACTCGAAATTTCGAGTTAGTAACTCGAAATTTCGTGTTAATTAAAAACACACACTAATTTTAATGGTCTTCCGTAAGCATTTCGCATTACAGTAGACTTACTGTAAACCTAGGATAACATAAAACATACTTTTTAATTTTATAATTATATTTTGTTGCATTTTTGTGTGTTTTGTATGCATGTTGATGTACGTGCTATAAAGCATGTAACAAGCCTATGTGTTTATGTAGGAAGTCGATACTGTATGCCACTAAGGTAAATTAGTTGCACGACGTGTACATAACATTGAGACAGTCTGCGCATGTGTTGTAAACAAACATGGCGGCAAAACAAAACATGAAATAATTTTTTTTTAAAGTTTCAGCGTTTCCGTAACATTAAAGGAATTTTCAATATTGACAGTGCAGCTAGGTTTAAGAATTTTAGTATGGCACAATGTGAGTATTGAAAGAAATCACGAAATTTTGTAAAGTCAGTCATTTTAACAAATAGCAATAAATTCGTGCTAAAACTTGTTCTGACAACATTTTTATTTGTGGTGGGGTAATGAAAAAAGTTGTGACAAACGTTCATAATAATGATATTCGTGAAAAGATAAAACGTATGGAGCATTTTAATTCTCATTATGGGTATTATCTGTTATGGTTGAATAAAATTATACATGTGCTTAAAATTGAAATGTTTTTGTTAGCATTGCAAGCTCTATGGATCTTGCTATTGAAAAGTTTTAGCTGGGCTATCACATATAGAGATCTACACGTTTCAGTCTAGCTAAACACCTTTTTTTCAATGATAGATATAAGGAAGGCAATCACTAATTTATTTATTTGCAATTATCATAGTAAAAAGTAGTTATCACCACATATACAGTGCAGACACTTTGTGAAATGCATTGGACATGACAATAAAAAATACTCTTGGTCCAAAGAAATTTGTAAAGTTTTGGTCAAGATGATCATGTCCAGTAAATTTAAATCCAAGAGAAACCACACTATTTTCCTATTGCAATGTTTTTATAATTGACACATATTAAAATATATATAACCACAGATACATATACAATGGATAGGAAGGTCCGAAAATATACGATTGTCAGACTCAGTCGCGCTTCGGTGATAATAGGGTTTATCCGCTAGTCTTTTCAACTGGCAAAATTCCGCGACATATGAAAAATTATGATAACTTGCTCGAACACAATTCAGCCAATACTGACTTTAACTGTGTGACGTCACAGTTTCTTCTCCATCTATATTTAGCTCCATGATATAACGCATTGTAATCGAACAAAAGCATGTCTGCTTTTAAATTTTCTTTTTCAAGCTTAGCAACTAGTAAGTAAGTACAAATATTGGCCTAAACAAAATTTTCCAAATAATCAAAAAAAAAAAAAAAACACCTCTACACAATTTTGCCTTTACACAGAATTTTAAAATGTTTTCTTTCAGTTAAAACTTACTGTAAAGAATTCAGTATGGTCATTTATTTTCTGATTTCAGTGTGGCAACATCCATATGTAAATGTTTTTAAGCATTTTAATGTATCATCATGGAAGAAGGCAACAAAGGAAGGAGAGGTAACCTCTTCAATGGTATGTTTTATTTTATGGATTATTTTATGCAGCTATTTCTGAATTTATATTTTTTTCTATTTTTGTAATTTGTGTTATATGTCATAATGATAATGTGAACCAAATGGTTACTGAAATAGTAATTTTTGCATCAAAAAGTAAAATAAATAATTGCCTTAGATATGTTAGTTAAATAATGGAACCACATCTAATAGTTAAATATTGGAATCACATCTAATAGTAAAATAATGGAAACACATCTAATTTATCTGTTCCTTATGAAAGAAGGCATTTAAACCATTCCTTTAGGATATCCAACATTATACATGGTTTATAATTTCTTGATGTGAACTCTATTTCTTTTGTCATTGAAATTATGCATCATTACATTTTCAATATTTTATACTTTTATTTATATTTCTTCCAGGACAAAGCAGTCAAGTCAACAGTTTTCAAGATTGTTGGATCGATACCTGCAGGAAACTATATTCAGTTACCAAAGACCAGCACCCAGTCACTCGGCCTCACTGGACGTTATATGTACCTCCTGATTAAACCAATACCAACAAAATATTTTGTGGTTCATATAGATGTAGCTACACAAGACAATCTTGTAGTGAGAATATCATTTTCCAACCTGTTTAAGGAGTTTAAATCCACCTCCACATGGTTACAGTTTCCGTTTGTATGTAAAGCTACTAGAGGGTCAGTGCATGCAGTAACTGCAATGACTGGTAAAGGTGAGTATACTTAAGATAATAATATCTGTCATGTTGTTGATATGTTTTCCATGGAAATTTGCAACTTTTTTCTTACAACAGTGTATGAAATTACAACTTTATTCAAAATCGTGAAATTACGTCATTCTAAGCTTGCCACGTGTATGGCACACAAGACTAATCTGGCACCCCCCAAAACTAACGGAAACGCCAGTTTGCTATGCAAGAAAAGTTTCTGTAGTTTATGAAAGATTTTGTTTATCATATTAAATGACATGTTTTAACATGTATCATGCTATATAAAGTAGCAGATTTTCACATATACATTATAATGGTACAATATTATAACAATCAACAATCTCCAAGCTAGTAAGCATACCCTTATACTGAATTGTTTTTAAATAAAAAAGTAGTTCTATTATTATTCAATATTTAAGTAAAATGCAATTGTCCTAAGTCTTTCCACAGGAACTTGAAATTCTATCAATATCAATGATAATATCAAAAATATACCCCCTATACAGTATAAGTGTTTATTTATACTGTATAGGGGGTATATTTTTGATATTATCATTGATATTGATAGAATTTCAAGTTCCTGTGGTCTTTCTAGCTGTTGGGTGATAATTATTTGGTTTCTGAAAGCTTATATGCTAAGTACTTGATTTTAGGTGTATATGAGCCGCGCCATGACAAAACCAACATAATGGGTTTGTGACCAGCATGGATTCAGACCAGCCTGCACATCCGCGCAGTCTGATCAAGATCCATGCTGTTTGCTATCAGTTTCTCTACTTGTAATAGGGTTTGTAAGCGAACATCATGGATCCTGATCAGACTGCGTGGATGCGCAGGCTGGTCTGGATCCATGCTGGTGGCAAACGCATTACATTGGTTTTGTCGTGACACGGCTCATATGTTTTTATTCATTAAGACATTTTAAATTAAAGATTTATATATCTATCTTACAGAAAACAGTGGTCCAGCTCCTCTGTCCACACGCTGGACAATACTGTGTCTAGACTTTCAGTACATATTGGCCATGTATCTGAACAGGAAGTACTCATATATCAAAGGTGTCCGTCTGTGTGCTAATATGTTAGTCAAAAATATCTTTACCAGTGATATACAATATGAACCAGGTAAAATGTTTGAGATTTGTTATGTTATATTTTAGAAATTTGAACAAGGGACCATGTTTTATTGATGAACATGGTGACTTTTTTGTGCATGATGATGAGTCATTTGCTTTGGTACTAAATATTTGATAGCGAACTACGCCGAGCTAGCTAGCTTGGTGTTATTCAGATATCTACAGTGTATGTTTATATTCTGAATCTTATTGTCTTCTGTCTAATACTTGTTGAACTCTCCAAGTTGTATTGAAAGCCAAATTGGCTGAATTGAAATATGATTATCCACAGTTACGGTAAAAAAAAAACAATTATAATTTAGTGAAGTAGAAAATTCAGGTGACACAGGGTGAGAAAAATAAGCAGTCTAAATGGGACACAAACTCTGCACCATTTGAATAACATTTCACAGCTCTACCCACTGAGCTATCTCACAAATCTTCTTACTTTTCAAGAAATCAGGAATATATTTATGTACATAATTGAATATTTCAGGGTTGACTGTTGAACAGGTGAAAAGATCAGGTGGTCTATCAGGAGTATCACCAATACCAAGGGAGTTAGATTATCCTGTAATGAAGGGAGATAAATGGCACGATCTGTATGACATGATAAAGTTCCCGGCCGAGGCCAGCAATAAACCACATGACACTATAAAATCTACATCATCAGAACCTAGCTGTAAAGGTTAGTTACTGTAACATAGGATCACTTGTAGTATTGATGGGAGACTATAAGAATATTTATACCCAAGAGCCAGATATTCCAGTCTGTAGCTCTGTAGCAATTGCCCGATTTTTATCCTTTTTTTCCTGCAAATGACATGTTAATTAAAGAAATAGGATGAAATAATCACTCTATTAAATTATAGTAGATATGAAAAAACTTAAGCTATGATTCTTTATTGAAACTTTGTTTTTGGTTTTGTTTGATACAAATATTTTCTTGGATTATTTTGCTGCAGTTCTTTTGTAGGCACATATTTACAACATGTATCGTTTGTAATTGAACCAGTTTTAAGCGTTTGTAAGATACATTTTTGAATTTTTAATGCTCCCAAAGGAATGTTACATACAGACAATAATGAAAGAGAATGAAGGTTAAAATTTTGATAAATTTCTCTGTTTTATTATTTGGAAAATGAATTGTGATTTCATTTAAAATAAATATATGTTGGTGTTTTTATGCCACCGCAGCATCTGCGATGCGGTGGCATATAGCGATTCACCTGTGTGTGTGTGTGTGTGTTGGTGTGTGTGTTTGTGTGTGTGTTTGTGTGTGTGTTATATAGATTATATAGTGAACTTAAAAAATCTTCTTGTGAAAAACCACTAGTCCAATTTCAACAAAACTTGGCAGGATTGTTCCTTGGGTGAAGGGCTTCCAAAGTTGTTCAAAGAATTTCATTCCATACAGAAATCTGGTTGCCATGGCAACCAAAAGGAATTATAAGAATAAATTGAAAAAATCTTCTTGTAAAGACCCAATAGGCCTAGAGCTTAGATACTTTGCATAAGACATTGTCTGGTAGACCTTTACCAAGATTGTTCAAATTATAGCCCTTGGGTCAAAATCGGCCCCGCCCCAGGGTCATTGACTTTCACCAGATGTACATATAGCAAAATCTTAAAACAACTTCTTGTAAAGACCTAAAAGGCCTAGACCTTAGATATTTTGCATAAGGCATTGTCTGGTAGACCTCTACCCAGATTGTTCAAATTATAGCCCTGGGGTCAAAATCGGCCCCGCCCCTGGGGTCATTGGTTTTCCTTATATGTATATAGTAAAAACTTATAGTAAAAACTTCAAAAAAATTCTTCTAGCAATTGACAAATGCTACAGGTTAGATATTTTGCATGAAACATTGTGTAGTAAACCTCTAGCAAGATTGTTCAAATTATAGCCCTGGGGTCAAAATTGCCCCCGCCCTGGGGGTCATTGATTATAATAAAAAAAAAAAAAATCTTATTGTCTGAAGGTACAAGGCTTAGAGCTTTAATATTTGTTAAATAATATCATCTAAAGGTCCTCTACAAAAGTTATTCAAATGTTGCCTTTTGTGTCAAAATTAGCCCCGCCCCCGGGGCCATAGGTTTTCCTTATATATATATAGTAAAAACTTTAAAAAATCATCATCTCTCAAAGGCTAGAGTTAAGATTTTTTGCATGAAACATTGTGTAGTGAACCTCTTGCAAGATTGTTCAAATTATAGCCCTGGGGTCAAAATTGGTTCCGCCCCGGGGGTCATTGATTTTCATTATGTACATATAGTGAAAAAATAAAAAAATATTTTTGTCTGAAGGAACAAGGCATAGAGCTTTGATGTTTGATATATAATATAATTTATAGGTCCTCTACCAAAGTTGTTCAAATTTTTCCCCTGGTGTCAAAATTGGCCCTGCCCGGGGGCAGTGATTGTCATTATGTACACATAGTAAAAACGGAAAATAAAACAAATGTTTTCTGAATGGGAGAAAGCTATAGCTTAGATATTTGACTTGACCTGTATCAAAATTGTTTTGAATTAAACCCTTGGGTCAAAATTATGCCTTGCCCAAGGGGACAGTGACCTACTTTCTTGTCCTTTGATGTACAGCAATGACATTTTGACCATGTGCACAGTTTTAGTTGTAAAATTGAACTTTGATATCAGGTGACCTAGATTTTGATGATGTGACCTACTTTCTTGTCCTTTGATGTACAGCTATGAAATTTGAACCATGCGGTGGCATAGCATTTTTCTCAAATGCAATCTTGTTTTAAAATAAGATAATTTCCTTTCTTATTTTAACAGCTGTGAGACCAACATCAAGTGGACCGAAAAGAATCGAGTCAAAGAAGGTAGATGCTAGTAAATGTATGTCAGACCGAGTCTCTATCTTACATAATGTAACAAAGGACTCTTCTAACAAGGTAAACCAGTCTATATATATTTCACAGCCGTTATGTTTAGAATATATGAATGATTGTTATCTTATAAAAATGTCCATTGAAATACAACAGATCATCTATGTAGCGCTTCCATAAAGTTCCAAACTTTGAAAGACAGAGTCTGCAAAATGTCTGACATTGGTAGGTAGAGAAGGAAAAGCACTACATTTTAAGTCACATGCCAAAACCAAGGAGTAATTGACTCTCAAACTTTCATGTAACGGAATACCTGCTATGTCATAATGTTGTCAAATTATGTAATGTTTATGAAGAGAACGGAACAGAACATATCTTTACAAACTCAAGTTACATAATATAACACATGAGTATAAATAATACATGTAGTGTTGAATATTTGTATGTAAGCTGATGAAATGTAGAGATGGTAACATATAAGTGTTTTATGTAAGCAAATAAGCGTTTGTAAATATTAAATACAACTTTAATTTTAGTGTTAAACTGTTAATTGATATTGTTAATCTAAAATGATGATGCTATTTTTAGATGTGAATAATATAAACTCAGGGAGCTTAAAGGTTTATTCTTATCTCTCTCTCTTTTTGATATTTTCAATTTTACTATCATTTTATGTAAATATTTAGTATCATCGTCGACGACCTGTGACATCTGAGCTACCATCTGTTGGTGTAGATGATATTGAGGTAGAGAAGGACAGAGAGGGAGAGATACACGTGTTTGCTCACCCAGACAGTAGTGTTGTCTTACATCAAGATGATAAATACACTGGAGAGGTATATATTAAAGCTCTTGCTTAAATCATTGTCTTTTAGGCATACATTTACACAAGAATTTCTAAAGTTGGTCAGATTTAGACATTGATTGTAGGAATAGATTGATGTGCTTTCGTATGGTCTCTTAGGCATAAATTTATATGAACACAAGAAGTTCAAAAGTTGTCAGGTTTAGATATTGATGGAAGAATAGGTTGGTGTGCTTTCGTAATGTAATACTATTTTCTTATTTGAGACAATAGTTGTGTAATGGAAGCAAAGTAAACTTGTTAGTAGCTGAACATGATTATAGAAAGCAGTCTGAAGCAGATTGATAAAAAAAATTCACATAAATAGTAATGAGTTTCTTTGAATAACTGAACCATTGTTTGTGTATGGGGAGAGTACATTTACCTGTATGTATTTTCTATTGAATTACTATTTTGGATTATATCAAATGTTATGGATACACTTCTTCTATGATACAAATACCTTTTATATTATAGGATGTTCTTAAAAAGAAGTTTGATTGTTTTGTTAATATACATTTGAATATAAAGATATGCGATACCTGTTTTGTTGATATACATTTGAATATAAAGATATACTATACCTGTTTTGTTGATATACATTTAAATATTAAGTTATATAATACCTGTCTATAATGTCATATATTTTCAGAGTCTTGTAGCCAGAATTGATAAACCCACTGATATATTTCCAGTGAAGAAACCATCATACAAGGTAATATGAAATCTCAATTTGAGTTTTTGTTCAGATTTTATTGTTGCTTCCATGGTTACTGGAGTTTTTCTCTAGCTTGGAGTCATGTCATCAGATGACTAAGAATCCAACAATATAAAACTATGTAATATTTATCCATATTGTCAGACCTGTCATTGATTCAAGGCAAGGCATATCAACAATATATTGATATAGGATGACAAATATCAAAGATACACCGATATATCAATAATTACCTAAAATTACTTGTCTGTCATTCACATTTATACCTGTTTAAATGATTTCAGTTGAAAACATTTTTTGTTCAGTGCTTTGTTTATAAAAGCCTTTTGCATGATTTTCATCCAGACCATTTGTTTGTCATCATTACTGTGAAATATTTCCACTATGTAACAACAAGGTGATGTAAGGCATGGACACCTGCTTCTGTAAATGTTTTGGGTGAATTTTCCTAATTTCTAGATATTTATTCAATAAGTCAAAATTATTTATTTTTTTAAATGTGTATTGATAATTGATCGACAGAAAAATATCAATGATACATCGATATTGTTTCTATGGATAACAGCTCTATCAATTGTTAATTGCTTAATTATAATTTATACCTAACTGTATACATTGGACTTCCTTTAGTGATTGAAATATCAAAATCAGCCTAGTGTATTTAGCCAGGATAAATTCATAGTGATGCTATATGCAGATCCTTATTGCAGGTAGCATTCTGAAAGTTAAAATTCTCACTTAAAAGAAACTGCTATGACTGTGAGGTATATCTATTTAGATACTCTACCTTTTAAGATGTGTTTTTATGATAACATGTGTTAATTTTCAGATAATGTCCTTTTCATCTTGCCATTACAATTATTTATCATGTATTTTACAGATACTAGAACCAGATCCAATATTAAGACTGAAGAGGATCATAGGGTTTGGTGGGAGTTCATTTAGAGATGTAAGTTGAACAGAATTGTACTAACTTTACCATATGATCATTGAACAATTGATGTTTTAAACCATTGTGATGAAGCTATAGAGAGGCTGCTTGGGACTACTTTTACCATGAAAGCTGAAAAACATCTTTTTGACAGTTCTATTTAACACAAGAGAACCTCATTGGCCTAGTGGTTAAGGATGATTCCATCCATCCTGCCGCTTACTGTTGTTAGTCTAACCTGCCGCTTTCTGTTGTTAATCTAACCTGCCCCTTGCTGTTGTTAGTCTAACCTGTCCCTTACTGTTGTTAGTCTAACCTGTCTCTTACTGTTGTTAGTCTAACCTGCCCCTTACTGTTGTTAGTCTTTCTTGCCGTCTAACTTGCCCCTTACTGCTGTTAGCCTAACCTGCCCCTTACTGTTGTTAGTCTAACCTGCCCCTTACTGTTGTTAGTCTGACCTGCCCCTTACTGTTGTTAGTCTAACCTGCCCCTTACTGTTGTTAGTCTTACCTGCCCCTTACTTTTATTAGTCTAACCTGCCCCTTACTGTTATTAGTCTAAGCTGCCCCTTACTGTTGCTAGTCTAACCTGCCCCTTACTGTTATTAGTCTAAGCTGCCCCTTACTGTTGTTAGTCTGAATCTGAACAGGGATATTAAGTGCTTTCATCAAGATGTCTTAAATGCATGTTGAAAACTAGAGGGACATGTAAGAACTTTCTTGCCATTGATGCTTCAAAGTCATTGTATGAACTATGCTGTAAGATTAATAGTAGTTAGTCCCCTACCGGTTTAATCGGAGGGGACTTTAGGTTTACCCTCCGTCTGTCTGTCTGTCTGTCCGTCTGTCCGTCTGTCTGTCTGTCTGTCAGTCCGTCAGTCCGTCCGTCCACAAAACTGGATCCCGCGATAACGCAAAAAGTACTGAAAATATTTTTATGAAACTTGATATATGGATAGATGGCAGTATGGAGATTATGCACGTCTTTTTTTTTTCTTCCTATGTTGAAAATTCTGGTTGCTATGGCAACAAATAGTCTGAAAATATGGCAAATTTAACACATAAACTGGATCCAGTGATAACTCAAAAAGTACTGAAAATATTTTTATGAAACTTGAAATATGGGTAGATGGCAGTCTGGAGGTTATGCACATCTTTTTCTTTTCTTCTTATGTTGAAAATTCTGGTTGCTATGGCAACAAATAGCCTGAATTTCAAGATTTCTGATTTAAATTTTTCAGATTTTTCACTATATGTTCTTCATTTCTTAAGGTGTTTACTTCAAACTTTAAATATAAGTTTCTGGTCATTAACCACATCATATGTGACAAGGTTTATAACTCTAGCACAAAAAATATCAGTATTACCTCCCTTGAACTTAGATTTTTTAGGGGAAAAAATGTTGTCTTTTTTTAAATAACTTCTTTATTTCCTAATGTATCTACTTCAAACTTCATATATATGTTTCTTATTATCACTCAACATTTTTTGAGAAGGTTAAATACTCTAGCAAGACTATTTCCAGAATTATGTCCCCTTGAACTTAGATTTTTTTCGAGAAACTGGTATTTTCACTCCAACTTCTTCATTCCTTATAGGATTTACTTTAAAATCACACATCGTAATAATATGACAAGGTTGTATAAACATAATTTCCTTACTAAGCATGGAAACTTAACACATTACTGTGATATAGACAAACTTATTTTATTATGTTTTGTGGTCGATATTTTCAAATACAGACTTCATCCTCAAATTCATTATAAATGGCAATACACAGGAGTGTATGACAATTAAAGAACTTTTTGAGGGACCGGTAGGGGACTACTGTATTGCCCGCAATACTATCAAATGCTTGTTCAGACATGTTCTTGAGGAAAAATTATGAAGTTTATCTAGTATTTACTTTGTACAAAACTATTCCATCCTAGGACATTATTACATACATATGAGTCATAGGCAATATGAAAATCTGAACGTACAATGTATACAGATTTCTATGAAGATATTCTGTGAACAGACAGATTATAAGAACCAGATCATTTTGTTGCCTGCAATGACCTGTCAATTTATCATTTCTGTACTGTTCTAATAACTATAACAATATTTCAGGCATTATGGACAGAAGATGGACATTGTTTAGTATATCCTTGCCATGCTGTTGTTGTAGCCATGAAGATATCCAATGGTCATCAGAGATTCTTTATAGGTCATACCGACAAGGTTAGTATATCACAGGTTTCTATTCACTATAAACCACTAGCTAAATATCACATGTCAGTAAATATATTCTGAGAAGACAAAGTTTAACTTAAACCCATGAAAATCACTTGCATTTGAAAGCTTATTGTGAGGTGTAAATTTGTTTTTTTGGATTTTCATAAAACCTTTATTTTACAATCTATAGGAGAAACACTAAGGATAATCTTGCAATAGAAATGCATATGCTTATTTATGTACCTGTATATTTCATTATTATCCGACAGGTTTCAGCAATTTCAATGACCAGCAACTCTGAGTTATTAGCCAGTGGACAGACAGGTCCACTAAGTGTGGTGAGAATCTGGAAAATGTTGACTGGTGAATGTCTCGCCCTGTGTAAAACACACTCCCACTCATTGTCATGCTTAAGGTAAACTGCCGAACATCATTGTTCTTAATAGTTGTTAGAATATTGTAAATAATTAAGCCATTTTTCTGAAGTTATGTATTCAACAGCTTTTCTGTACAAGTAAAGGCTTGCTGTTTGCAAGATTGTTTCTAAATTTTTCATTGATTAAGCAATAGTGGAAATAACTTAATATTCTTTATAAAATATAAATGGTAAGAGTCAAAGATGTGTTGTGCTTTAGATCAGTTCTTTATCACCTAATGGATAGGCATGTCCAACATCACTCTGTGTTCCAATCCTTCCACAGATTTTAAATTCTTATAAATGAAGCAGCAATGAAGCTAAGTTAAAAGTAAGTTGGTTTTTTTTGGGTATCAGCTTGAGCCCCCCCCCCCCCCCAAAAAAAAAAAATTCTGCATTGAGGCATCTGACATGCTCATTTACACTTGAAGTATGAAAAGATGCAGGTGTCATAAGACTTAGAAACCCAATAAACAATTTGTTTCTGTAAATGTTTATTCAAATATGATAATTATTATGATTTTCCTTTCTTTAAATACTTTATTTTGATAACAGTACACTTGAAAAGGATGTTAATGAAATACATATTTTACTTCTTTTATATGTCCTACATGTATATTTTTTTGTGATTGTTATATATGTACATCTTTACCTGACTTTTCAGTTTTTCACACAAAGGTACTATTTTATGTGGTGTTGGGAAAGACAGCCATGGAAAAAATGTAAGAATATGCATATAATTTATTATTTACAGAAAACATAAGAGCTTATTTACTTGCCTGTTTAGTATTACCAAAGTAGAAAAATAATGAATATTTAAGGGTTATTTCCTTGTTTAAATTTGATACTGCTTAGAAAATTCATCTAAGATCATGCTCCTTTCAATGTTAGTTTTATTATCCACTACTAAGATATTGCATCATTTTCTATCAAATCAATGACATTGGGCAAAGCAACAGCCATTTTCATATTAGAGAAAATAAAAAAGTTGAAAGTTTTGTGTTTCTACCTGGAAAAGATAGGCACAATTTGTCCTGACAACTTGTAAAAACCATTTCAACTATAGTATAATTTAATGCTTCAGAGAGAAATGGTCACTTGTGATACATCTCCCATATTCTTTTTTTTTTTCATAAAAGGTCAGCTATTTTACTCAGCAGTATGTTGTGTTATCAAAATTGTATTATTATTTCTATACCAGATGGTAGTGATATGGAACACCAGTAAAGTTAGCAAAACAAGGGAGGTCACTGTAATGGCCAAGGCACACTCGGATGTTGATATCTGCAGGATGAGAGTGGCAGCATTTGATGATACTAGGTAATGTATACAGACTCTCCTCTTCAGGCCCTCGGTAAGCTAAGTGTTAAGAGACTTGGGCCTCCCGTCACTCAGATTGAAAAGATTCAGGAGAGCCTGTAAGATTTCTTGTCGGTGGTTCTACTCATATGCTTCATTGTTCCTGAAATGGGGTACATAGGGTCACCTGAAGTCTGCCTTCACCAGTAGCGGAAAACTTTCAAGTCAATCATATGACAGTGCTGGTGTTATTCAAAACAAGACAAAACAAGTGTACATTTTGAGTTTATGGATGCTTCTTAATCTAAATAAAACAAAACAATTTCAAAATGGTTTTTGTTATGCAGTCATGATTTCTTATTTATGTAACTAGGGACAATTGATCCTTCACTATCTGTTTTGTGGTCCTTTTGTAATATTTATAATAAAAAGTAATACTTTAAGCATCTGCTGGCATATTATTATTTCATTTTGAAGTATTTTAGCAGGCTGATATGTATGTTTTATCAGTTACAATATGTATAATTAAGAAATTCATATGACCAATTTAAATTTATTTTTTTGTAGAATGGTATCATGTGGGCGTGACAATATACGGTTATGGAGAGTGAAGGAGGGGTCATTAAGGTCAGCACCTGTCAATCTAGGAGAGTACCACAATATGGAGTTAACTGATGTGGCATTTGAAGCTGGGTACCATACAAACAAAGATCCTGCTGACAGGATTGTGTATGTATAAATATATCTATAACTATAAACTAGGATAAGCATTATAACTTTAAAAAATGAGTCCACGAAAAAGAATATACGTCAATATTTTCCATATTGTAGAATTTTATTATAAAACTTCAGGAATTTCAGGTATAAAGCCTGCATTTAAAAAAAGACCAGGTCCCGAGGTTTTAAACATTTTGAGATCGGTCTGCCAGCTCAGAAACGAGATCCCTGGCTCAACGTTGATTAATTTTCAAACTTTCATCTGGAATTAAAGAATTATAATACTAGACTGGTATTATGATAATTGGAACTTGATTGATATTGAACATGTTAGTAATATACGAGACTGTAAATTATATCACTTCAGTTATAGTCACTCAATATTTCAAGTTTCAACCAGAATTTCTAGTTTCAACCAGAATTTCTAGTTTCAACCAGAGGGAAGTTAGTCTTTAAATAATAGTTTCAACCAGAGGGTAGTTAATCTTAAAGACAAAAATAAAACAAAAGCAAAAAATACCAAAACAAAGCAATGAATATTAAATCAGTAATTTTGCTGGAATAAAATATATTATTAATTTATGTTACAGGTATGCCTGCAGCAGATCTGGTCATATATTTGAGATAGACATTAAGAAAGTTTGTGTACAACATGTAAGAAGACTGTTACCAAATGAGGCAAGATCAGACAAAGATAAACAGACATTTAGATCAGGTATGTTCAATGTTGAAATAGAGTTAAACACTGCTCTGTCATAACATAGCTAGGTCTATGCACCTTTGAGTCCAAGTCCTAGACTTCACTCATGATTTTCTGCAATGATTTTTATCACTATATGTTACGCTATGCTATAAGTGCCAGACTACTGTTTACACACACTATGTTTAGAAACATAGTAAAATAAAAAAACTATTCCTAATATAGGATAAAGACACACTGGTTTGTTAATTACCTTCTAGTATGTAATTGAAATACTGACAAATAGTAATTAATCCATACTGGAGAATTGTATATTGCTTCCTTTGTTCTACTTGCCCCTTAACAGTGCGAGTTGGATTTAAAAAAAGAAGAGTAATAATTTGTAAGTAAGTTATCTAGTTAGGTTGAGGAATATGAGAAGTTCAATAAAAATGCCCCAGCATTGACTAATGAATATAAGTGGGTTAATTTATCATTTTTCCACTAGTAAAACTGTAAAATTGCTATATGAATATGCATGTGTCATTTTGACAAAAACAAAAACAACTATGTTAAAGAAAGAAGTTATTGTGTGAACTGACCTAAAAAACATGCTAGTTTCAAAGTGTTATATACAGTAACAGATAAGATCTAAATGCATTATCTTCTTTGTGACTTATGAATGTAATAGATAAGAACTACATGTATTATCAGGTCCAGGTATTGCCATCAACTGTATGTCAATCAATGAGACATTCTGTGTAACGGGATCTGATGACGGCTTTATGAGACTGTGGCCTCTAGATTTTGCCCATGTATACCTAGAGGCGGAGCACGAGGGATCAGTCACTGCTGTAGATTTCTCCTCTGATGGTTTGAAGATTCTGGCTGGTACTGCACAGGTTTGTAGATGTTTGTGAAAGGACATGTTGCAAATAAATAATTGTGACAGTTTATATCAATACAAAAAGTACTGAACAAAATTTAATTAAAAGTAAATATTTGTTTTTGAAAAAAAAGTTTACCCAGTTACATGCTTAACTGCATGACTTTTTCCCCCACTTTTGTTGATACTGATACCTTTCCTAAAATCCTAAATCCTTGAATTTTTTGTTGAGTTCATTTCAGGTAGTTATATAGACACATAGGGAAGAATTGTATATCCTAATAATAGAACTACATGTGTAATGTACAAGTAAATGTTTGAAGATTATATTGATTAACATATTTTTATTTCATTAATAATTACACTATAGTAGTAGAAATTTATTATTGGTATTTTAGGGAAATCTAGGAATGTTAGATATAACATCTCGTGGATATACAACATTAATGCGTTCACATACAGGTAGTATACGGAGTGTAGCTGTAGATCCCTACAGGAAACATATTGCTACAGTGTCCGAGGACAACACAATCAGAGTGTGGGATTCTGAATCTTTACAACAGGTATGTTTCCAAGTCAACTTGTTCAGTTTACACCACATAGTTGAAGACCCCTTCAGGGATATAGTGGTAGTATTTGTCGAAAATACAAGGAAAAAATGGCTGAGAGGTTAATGGTTCCAAGTTCAAAATACTTTCCTCTCACTGCTGTTGGTTTGAATCCTGTCAGGGACTTTTGGACTTCTTTCACAATAGGAAGATGTCCAGCGAGCTTACTTATGTTTGGTTGATGGTTCTACTCCAGTGCCTGCTTGTGCCTGAATAATGTATGAAGGAGCATTTGAGGTCTTCCTCCACCAGTGAAGCTGGAAAATTCCTCATATGACTTTTAGAGTAAAGGTGTGAACATATAACAAATAATACAATGAAAATATGAGCTTCTGAATTTTTCCAATTGGTAGGGAGGGATATAGCATTTGAGCCGCGCCATGACAATACCAACATAATGGGTTTTGCGACCAGCATGGATCCAGACCAGCCTGCGCATCAGTGCAGTCTGATCAGGATCCATCCATCAGACTGCGTGGATGCGCATGCTGGTCTGAATCCATGCTGGTCGCAAACCCATTATGTTGGTTTTGTCGTGACACGGCTCATTTCATTTACCTTTACTTTATCCATGTTCAGCAAGTTTTTTTTGTGGAACAGAAATTTTTAGATGTAATTAATCAACTAATGAAGTATTTTCATTGCAGTATGAATGTTTGAACTTTTTAAACTTTATTCTGACATCTGTATATTTTTGTTTTATATTTGCAATGATTTTTATTTCAGTTGTATGACTTCAGTGCACCGAATGAATGTCCATGTACCATCAGTTATCACCCGTCACGGCAGATATTCGCATGTGGGTTTGAAAGTGGAGTTGTACGAGTGTTTAATGTTCAGACAACCAGCCTGCTAGCAGAACACAAGTATGAATATTTAGTTTTGTTAATTTGTATGTCTTATATAATAGTGATACAATGATACATGTGTTAGTAAAATGTAAAATGGATTTCTTCATAAATAGTCAAGAAATCATGGTTGTGAAAATTAGATTGAAGCCAGACTTTAAATTATAAGAATGTTATCTTAAGCTAAAGTTACCAAAAATTATGAATAATATGAAAATCAAGTTATTGAGATTTCATTGTATGTTTTTGTTTTACATGTTTATTAAAATATTTACAGACAACATCGGGGCAAGGTAACTGGTCTCTCATTTAATCCTAACGGTGACTTCCTGTATAGTTCATGCTCACTGGGCTCACTAGCCATGTATGATGCCACATCGGAAGGTTATCCGTTGTTACGTCTCCTTGGTAACACAGTTGCTAGGGGAGAAAGATATTGTCCTGACGCCCTGGCTGTAAGTCCTGATGGACGTCGTGTGGCATTTATAGGACCGTCAGAATACACAGTGACCATTGTAGACTCTAAATCATTAGATGAGGTGAGTAGACTCTCTGATAGTAACAATGAATAACAAACAGTTTTATTGTGTTTTTTTAAGGATTTAAATGTGAATTTATTAAAGTTTGTGGGCATTAGATTCTTGGTTTTGCCAAAAGTACATTTTTGTGGGTTCTAAAATTTGTAGATTCTTTGTTTTTTCCAAAACAGTAAAATGCAAATAGTGCAATGCAAAATAATCTTATAGACATTTTAATAAAGAACATTTTAATAAAGAACTATTGCTACAATTATTCTATATTTCTGGATCAATTTGAAATGCTATATGAATTATTCCTGTACATTTAGACAATGAGGATAGATGTATCTAGTATAGGACAGGGAGGTAAATCTCGGATAGACACGGCAGCGAAGATATACTATTCACCCATCAAAGTCAGCCATCTTCTGGTTGTTACAGGAAACAATAAACTACTCAAGTTTGAGGCCAAAACTGGCAGGATTCTGTCCGAGGTATGAAACATATGTGTTTGGTTATCTATATATAAATCAGAAGAAAAAAAACATACTACTGAAGCCAATTTTCAGAAAGTAAGGTGTGGTATTGTTAAACTGGAGCGTGCCTTGTATCTCAATAAAAGAAATACCAGGTCAACCCAGAATACAGCTGTCTTTGTGACTATGTTTATAGTTTATTCTCAAGGAATACATAGCAAGATTACTTCACAAAATGAGAAAAAATGGCAAATATAAATATTCCTAAAACAAAACAGTTGGTTTGTGTTCAAAGAATATATTATTCATTTCTTTTGCCTTAGAGATGATTAAAATTCTATATGATATGTAATTCAGTAATACTGTACAAAACATTATTCAGTAATACTGTTGGGTTTTAGGTCACATCGACACAGTATAGGTCATATCGCGACGTTCCAGCTTTACTGGTGGAGGAAGACCTTAGGTGCCCTCCCATGCATTATTTCAGGCACGAACAAGTAATACTGTACAAAACGATCTATGTAATAAGGTTCTAGGTGTAAGGTTATATTATTTTTTGTATTTATATGTATTACTAGGTGGACCATATACACAAGAATGGTTGTTCCTCTATAGCTCTAACAGATAATGGTAATTATCTAGCAACAGGAGGTGACAAGGTGATCAAAGTATGGGATTATAATATGAGATTAGATATTAATTTTCAGGTAAAAAATCTTATCATGTTTAATGTATATCTAATAATTTATAACATTGATAATGAAATTGTCAGCAAAGGGAGGGAATCATGATAAGGACAGTTTATTACATCAATTAATTTTAGAAATATATTCTATTTTTGATATGATGATAGAAATAATGTATGTTTTCACAACACATGAAGAGAAATAAACTGCAGTTTTTGTCTGTGGTATATTCAAAAGGCCTCATGATAAATGTTTTTTCTTTGTTGTTCCCGAAACGGACCAAATTCTTAAGTGTGAAGCTATTGGGTTGGCTTTTGGAAAGGTAATGTTTTAACCAGGTGCCTGATTGTGTCCCAAAAAATGTTTGGATAAAATTGAATTTCTTTCTGTCACTTCTTAAAACAAAATAAATAAGAAAGACTGTACCAGTAATAAACCTTAGTAATCCGTCATTCTTTCACTGTGTTTGGCAGTTAATTGTTTGAATTTATTGCAGGTATTTATTGGTCATTCAGAGAATGTGTCAAGGATTATATTTACACCAGACAGTAAGAACTTGTTAAGTGTTGGAGAAGCTCTGTATTTGTGGGACTTCCTGGCCTATAGACCTTCTTCACCCTCCGAGTAAGTTTATATTGATATAAGGGAAACTTTTAGATTATGATGTAACACAGGAGAAATAGAAACTGCAATTTATTACACCTAAATAGTATGATATCCAATGTTGTTCCTTGTACCTATAAGATAAACTTGTCTGTGACTGTCACTATCATCTTTTTGAAACATCACTACTGTATTGTATTATGAAGCTTGTACATATAAAAGTGCTGTCAGATGATGCATGGTTCTTCATAGGTTGCTTGCATGAAAAAATACACAAAACGACACCTTAGGTGAATGCTGGCCAAATAACAATAATATAAGTATAAAAGAAATTCAACCAAAATGATACTTAGGATTAATTATTAAATTGTCAGAGAGCAACATGTAATCGTTCTACAGTAATATTCACATATAACAAATATACTGCTTATAACGATGCTGTTTCCACGATCTAAACTCTTATTTTCTAAATGGTTGCCTATTGGATATAACAAATTTGGTGGTCCCTTGAATATCATAATCAGAAAAATTTACTGAATTTACAAAGGCATGGCTGAAATGTTTATAGATTTTAAATAATGTGATTAATATTTTTTCAATTTTCATGTTAAAAAAAAGTGTCTGAAGGGACGTATGAACCCTCGTTTAGCTTTAACCTCAGGGCTATCTGTTGTATAATGAGCCATGTTATAGATAAAAGAAACATGCATGATGAAAAATTTCATAAATTTATTGTTAATATTTCAGGGGACGTGAATATAGAGAAAAAGACTATCTCACTGGACACACAGACAAACCCACTGCAGTTTCATTTAGAAGTAACCCTAGCACTCGTAGCCCTAGCCGAGACAGTCTGGGAGAGTCCTTCCTTGACATGCCACGCCGTACACCACCTAGGCCTGCAAGAGAAGACTCTCCTGGTAGAATAGGAGATCTTAGCTCTATCAGAAAATTTCCGTTCGATGGTAAGATGACTGTGATAAATGATACATGTGATTTATATGTACATAAGGTGATCATAGTCCCATTAATTTGGCAGTTTTACATAAAAATCAGCAATTTTAAGAATACTTAATTGGTTAAACCATAAATAGCTAAATTGGCTCAAATTTATGAGTAGTCTGATGCCAAATAAAGGAAAAGACTATATTTTCTGATATTTTCTGTGTTAAACCTTATATAGTAATTGATGAATAGTAATTGTTGTTTACTTACATAAAGAAATGAGTAAGAGATAGAAAACATGTAACTTATTGCATAAAACCTTTCTTCTGTTATCTGGGCGCTGATGCCTCTTGAGTCGAATAGCTTTCCATAGCTCAAAAAATTGTTGCTGATTAAGTAATAAGTAAAATGTAATAGGTATAGTGACATTTAATTGATGTCCAGTTAATGGTATACAATAATTTATCCATAGAAATTTGTGTAAAATATTTTACAAAATTTATAGACAAAACAATCGAAGATCAATTAAATGTTTTTATTCACATCATAAGAGGTACTGTCATAAAAATCTGTAATCTGGTTCTGTAACAGCATATATATTAGGAATGTAGAAGGAAGTGTAACTTTATATTTCTAGATGATTTAGAGTCAGTAAGTTCAGAGAAGGAACCTGTGTTGGCAAGAGCACCTAGACTTGAAGATAGAGTTACCCACAACCATTCTGATGATGATGAATTAGAACCAGTATGTTTTAATTTGTTTCCCCTTTCCATTTAATTGTAGCAATATCCCTTGTTTATCATTAACCATAATAGAAGTTCTTTATGAAATGTTTGACATGATTATGTTATATGAGTTGTCATTAAAAGTCAGGAAGCCTAAAATGTGTTTCATGCTAATCTGAAAATTTCCAATGTTCCAGGTAGTAAAATAATTGTCATGTTTACACATACAGTGATATTAGTTAGCCTAACTTTAGTAAGGCAGAAACCTTTAAATTGGTCAAAATATGAAAAAAAACCTACCCCATTTCTTTTTAATGCACATGTATTAGTAATATAAAAAATATGGTGGTAAAATGTAAAAGACAGTCATATTTAAAAAAGCTGCAACACTTTCATTTGTGACAAACTGAAATATTTCACTTAATTGTAATTTTTGGAGGTGTGCATCGTGAAAGAAAAAACTCTTATATTGTGGTGAATTACTGGTATGTTCAATCTAATTCCTATGTTGAAGAATAGTGCACTTACCGAAAGAAGTCTGTATAGTGTTGACTTTCTGAGTATAGTGTGTGAAGATATACTATTTATGGGTGTCACTTCTTTTCCCTGCTTATCATTTGAAGGATACTGAGAGTGAAACTCTGGTCAACGGCCAGTATGGTCAACAGTTTATCCGACATACCAGCCCAGCCAGGATGCCGTGTAGACATGCAGCACCCATGGGTATGACACCGAGACAGAAACACGAGGAGACCAAAGTCACTAAACCAGGGGCATTTAAACATTTTGTTCAACGAGAGAAAACACATGCGATGGCACAGGTATGTTGTTAATCATGCCTAGATATCAACATTAGACTGTTACAATTCATTGAAATTGTAGGACTAGTTTAGTAAGCCTTGTAATGAAAACTATATATGCAGTTGTTCACATGTTAAATGATAAAAAAAGATGTTTGATTTAAGTAAGATAGATATGACTAAATCAAAGCAAAAAAGAAGATAATAGTAAATTGATAGTTAATTAGGGAAGAGGTGGTTAAGCATTTAGGAATTATAATTTTGAGCTCTATCAGTTGCCTAGCAATATTTTCTCATATGACACTATTATAATAGTCAACAATGGATGGTTCAAACAAAGTCCTAACTTTCCTCCTCTACTAAATTAGAAATTTCTGCCAAAGAGTCAACAGACCAATACGTGATCAGTCTAGTGCCTGACAAATACTTCCTTTTACCTATGTCGTAAAAAGTATGCTTTAGTTTAAACCGTATTAATTTAAAGTGACATTATGCTCATTCAAGGGTATACAGTGAGTGAACAGGTGAAAGTCAAAATAAGATCTAATATAGCCATAATTCCTTTTGATTTAATAATTTACCTCATATTAACAATAAATAACCAACGGATTGAAACGGAATTTCTGTAAATATCAATTAGAATTACCTGAAACGTTTAGTTTAATAAAAGAGTGGGGCAGTCTTTTTATATTTTAGGCAGATTTTAAATTTTATTTTAAACATTTACCCAAATAAACTGTTGGTCAAACACCATTTTAATATTCAATCTTTTGAAATAAAATGTCTATTCAGCTCAATTTGACTTTGAAAATTTGAGCATAGTGTCACTTTAAAAAGCTTATTGATTTAAACCTCTCAGAGTCCACTATCTGGAAGTAACTATGGTTGTGACCTATAAGGACTCGAACTTACAATTCTTGTGTTGAAAAAATGACACTTAAACCATGAGGTCACTCCTGTCTTCAATAGTTATGATACAATAATGACTGGTGTGCCTGAAAAGTAAACCAAATAATTATATATTTCAGAGAAGATATACAGCACCACCTAATCAAGCTGGTATAAAATTAAAGTCTGTCATAGGTTATAATGGTAACGCTAGAAATAACATGGTCTGGCATCCGGATACTGGTAAGATCACTATTTGCTTCCTTACCTTACTTCATATCTTGTCCTGCCAACTTAAAAGGGAAGAAATAATATATTTTGTGCAGCTTTTCAAGTGTTCATGAGAAATGTAATTGATATTTTCATGTAGTCTAGATGAGTTTGAAGTATTTGAAAATAACTATAAGTATTTTGAAACTTATACATTTGTGTATTTATAAAGAATTCTTTTTATAAAGAACCTATATTCTATGGCTGTTTTTTTACAGGACTGTTTGTGTATACAACTGGCAACACTATCATCATAGAAGATCTGAATAACAGTTCACAGAAACATTTAACAGGACATGTTGAGGAAATATCAACTCTAGCATTACAAAATGATTGTCAGGTATGAGCTTAATGTTATGTTCATTTAATCTAAGACTTTACCCATAGGGGTTACAAACATTATCAATATAAAAAATAATATCATATTTGACCTCTAAGTATAACATAAACTTCTATCTCATTTAGTGGTCAAGTTAAAGTTTAGATTACAAAGTTGAGACAGAGGGACACACACACAAGTATGTTAAAGTGCAACTATAAACCCTTGATATGATCACAGGAGTTCTGAGCATTAGAATGATACAATAACACTGATAAACCTATACACTGCTGGATGACAATTGAATCTACTGCTTCAACCAGTGCAGACCAAGATCAGCTAGTATACTGTGTCAACTGATCATGGTCTGCACTGTTGATTATTCATCTAGTACTGTACTAGAATTGTTCCGAAAAATAGTGAATGGTTTTGTCCAGATTATAAAATGGACAAAGCTATAAAACATGTGGCAAGCTACTTTTTGTAACTGTGTGATTGAATATACATTATTATTTATGATTCTAAGGTTTTTCTTCACTAGTTAAGCTTGTTAGTTGAAACTTGTCTTCAGTCCTCACTCAATTCAATCAAAAAAAAAATAGAGGAAAATGAGATTTTGTATATATTTTCAGACATTAGCATCAGCTAGTGGTAGTTTTGAGCTATCAGGAAGTCAGATATGTATATGGGATCTACAGTCACTGGTGTGTAAGAAGGTGCTATCACATCATGAGTTTGATATTGTATGTCTAGCTTACTCCAGAGATGATAAATTCCTTGTCTCAGTTGGTAAGATTGAAAATTTTCTATAAATAGATGTTTTAGAGATTTAAGAAATAATACGTTTCGTTCTTGTTAAGACTGTTTTTGCATGCGCTGTTTGTTTATTTTATTTCACTATATATTTTTCAAGAAAAATACAGAGTATTTATAGCTAAATAAATGCTTTGTAATTAATTACTCAAGCCTATCGGTCTTTGTGTTTATGTTCCACATTTGAACTCAAGTCATGTATTATTCTCCAACAATGCACTCAGAATTGATATCTATTTCCTAAATAAAACTTGAAAGTGTTACAAGAGCTTGCATAACTTTGATATTACAATGTTAATAAGAAATTTACTGAAGGTAAAGCTATCAATATTGATAATTTCTACATACAGGTGACTACAGAGACTGCTCTCTTGTTATCTGGAGTACACATAATTACTGTATCCTGACAACATCTAAGGCAGCTAGTCCTATACATGACCTACGCTGGGATCCATATACAGTAAATGAGTTCTCCTCTGTAGGCCAGAATGGTACAGTATTATTCTGGTTACTAGATGAGACAACATCAAACATCTGCCTGAATGTACATGAAGGGGAAGTACCAGATGATCTGCTTTATGCTAAAGGATCTGTAAGTTCACATTTAGTTCTTGTCTATATGTCTCATTGTAAAATTAAAATTATACCCAAGTGGAATTGGGTAAGAATATCTGATGTCATATACTAATTAGGAAGACATGTAATTATTTGTAAACCTTAAATTGTTTTGTACATTTATGCTAGATACTGTCTTACTTGCCATATATAATGCATTGTATATCCTCATGGGCTATATGGCCTTATGGAATATTGAAAATAAACTTATGTTTCAAATTTTTAGATTGTTTGGAGTACAGTTTCATATGAGAAAAAGATAGTTAACAATATCACCATTTCTAGATTAGACCTGTTTACATTCCAAATTCTGTGTGTGAATCAAGTGAAATTTTAATAGAAGATTAATGGCTTGACTTGAGTGTCTTTTACAAAATTACCAAAGCAGAAAATTGAATTACTTATAATTCAAACTCTGGAAGCTACTGACATTTACCTTTTGAGCCCTTCATATTTTGATTGCAAAGCATTGCAACTGTAAATCCTTGAACAACTTTAAAGCTTCTTTCTTTGAGATTTGGTAGAATTTTCAGTGTTCGATTTGATGAAGTTTGTCCTTTAAAAATAATATAGGGATTTGAATTTTTTTATCTTAAGTAACAATGTATGTAAAATAATCAAATGTGTGAAGAATAGTTAACATCTCATTATCAAGTTTGCATAAAAATTTGACTGTAAATGATTTATTCTGTAATATAAGCTGTGTTATTTCAGGGCATGAAGAAGGAATGTGTTGAGTTTACATGTATAGTATATGCAGGGGACAGTACTCTGTATACGGGAACCAGTAATGGTAAAGTGGCAGCATGGGATACCAACAATAACAGCTGTTTCATGCACTGGGAGGCTGATACCTCAGAAATAGGTGAACCTCTTGTAAATGGTTATTGACTATATAACATGGGGATGTAATCATTTTATTCTGAAATCCTTTAGAAGTTATAAACAACTACATGTACATGTTTACATGTATTTTGGACATTTATTACAGTCTGGTCATTTTTATGGCTATGATTTCTAAGTGCCCTGCTTTTGACAGCCTTTTTTTCTGTACATAATGGAAATACTGTGTTAGATAAGGGTGTATACATGGAAATATTTAGGAGTTTATTAAGTAACAACAAGTGGCCCAGTGGTTAACCCGTCAGACTAGTAATATAAGAATTGCTGGCTGCATGGGTTCAAACCCCGTCAAGGGCAAGCTGCTGTGTCCTTGAGCAAGAACTTTAACATTTATTGCTTAGTACTAGTTGGTTCCAGGAACAGATTCGAGAGTTTTTCAATAAGCTTATAGCTTCCAACAAAGTAAATTTATAAATCAACTTAGCCATACCTTACTGAAGGTTTATGTTTCATCCTATATAATATTCCAGGTGTGAAAAGGAATAAAAATCCTCTTTTCTGAACCCATGATGAAATGGAATAAAAATAATACATTTTTTTATGTTACAGATGTGATAATCAACAGAGGTAACTTGTTGTTGACTGGTAGCGAGGGGAAGAATGTACGGGTGTGGTCAGTTGTTGGTGTGGGGGAGATGAGGCTCCCAGGGGAACATTATAATGTACGTACAGGTGGTCTAACAATGGAAGATGAGATGAATGTAGATGGTGCTGTTGTATCTGCTGCATTTGATGAAGCCATGGATATGGTAAGTCATGGTACATGTTGTTAAACATGTTTTCCTTAGATTGCAGATATATGTTAATTATTGTTTTGAACTTTTGGTGTTAGGCTTGGTTAAATAACTTACTGTGCATTTAATTGATTTGAAAATTGAGTATATATGTAAAGGCATGATATGAGATAAAGAAAACATTAAATTTGTTGATTTATTACCAGGTCTACTATGTTACGGATTTCTGAAATGTTGTTTCCATTTCACTAAGGTTATTAGGTTGCTGTAGATTGAGTGATTCAATTGATTATAACACTAAATCTTATTTGGGCTTACTCTTAAGTCTTAAATTATTGTAGAATAAAGTTATAAAAAAATAGTTTCAATGCAGTTTAATGAAAAAAATTTGCGGGATATTCATGGTGATGTAAAATTATTTTGTTGTTACAGGGCATTGTGGGTACATCAGCTGGTACCCTGTGGTACATAAACTGGGGAGAAAGAACTAGTATTAGGCTGGTATCCAGCCATATGAACAAGGTACATTAATATTCATTTTGTTTAAAAAATAATTTACTTGAGCTTATGTAGTAGCTATAAATTTGCAGTAAGTTAATTTTCTATGATGTCAATGAACTTCAAGGTAAGAAAAAACATTTGAAACTTGCTATTGAAAACTTAACAGAATATATGAATAAAGTTAGTAATTTAAGAATGAATTGATGGATGTTGTAATCTACTTATTGTATCAGCGAAATGATGGTGACCAAAATACTTGTTATGCAATTTCATCAAACAATTGGAATAATCTAGTATCTTTTCACTGAAGGAACATAATAATATAAAGAAATTGACCAATGATAAAATCTTCTTTTTTCAATTTATAAAATATTTGGTATAAAAAAATAGCTATTGTTGTCTAAACCCATTACTGTTTTAAATTGTAAGTAATGCTACAAAAAATAGTTTCTTACAAACATATTATGGTCTTATTAAATCCTTACTGCATAATATTTTTTTTCTCATTCTACAAATAACAGTTATCTCAAGCTGTCAGCTGAAGTACAGTTTTATTTTACTTACTAGTATAATATGAGAAGTTTTGTGTTATATGTACTAGGTAAATGGTTTATCATTATGTAACAATGAGCTACTAGCATCATGTGCTGACGATGGTAGTTTACGAGTGTGGGCAATCAATGATAGAGAACAAGCTCTACAGTTCCAAGTTAAAGATCAGGTAGGTTGTCATGGTTTTTCTTGCATAGTTATCTGATTTTCACATTTAAATCAAGGAGATTTTGCTGTCCCGTGTTGCTAAACTTGAAACCTTCTTTTACCACTTTGTTTGTTTAAATTCTGGAAAATATTTCCCATTCTTTAAAGTGAAAAGAAAAATATCTAGTTAACTTCTAGAAGATCTCTACCCCTATACTTGTATGAAACTATGCTTAAAATATTGGAAAGATGTTTGTCTCTTCTTGCTAGTTTGATTTTACTGTTTTATTGATAATCTGTTACTGTTTATACTACCTTTTCTAATATCTGGATTTGTGGTAACTCCACTAAAAAAAAAATTGAATACGAATTCAAGACAAGTTATTGATTAATTTTACTCCTTCTGAAATAATATGGTGCATTGGATGTCTATAAGCTAAGTAGATATAGCTATGATTAAAAATCAAACGTTTTCACAAACTGCTTGATCTAAATATAATACTACTTTTGTTTATCAAATAAATATTTTCAACATTATCTCTGCAGTCCTGTACTTGTGTCAGCTTTGCTCCGATGACGTCTGTGAAAAATGGAATTACAGACACACATCAGGGCCGAGATCATTTACCCAACATTGTAGCTGGTTACAGTGATGGTACAGTTAGAATGTTTGATGTGAACAAGGTAGAAATGGTTCTCAAGATGCATCCACATGCTGTAGCTGTAACTGCTATAAGCTTCTCATCTGATGGTATGTTGATAAAATGAGCCGCGTCACGACAAAACCAACATAGTGGGTTTGCGACCAGCATGGATCCAGACAAGCCTGCGCATCCGCGCAGTCTGATCAGGATCCATGCTGTTCGCTATCAGTTTCTCTACTTGTTATAGGTTTTGTAAGCGAACAGCATGGATCCTGATCAGACTGCGCGGATGCGCAGGCTGGTCTGGATCCATGCTGGTCGCAAACCCATTATGTTGGTTTTGTTGTGACGCGGCTCAAATATTCATTCATAACGACAGTCATATCATATATAAATGCATTATTATAATATTTAGTATGTCATTGTAAGCCTAAACTCATTCAAACTGAAATATATTTTAGTAATGTAAGTATCTAGTTTAGGGACAAAAAAATAAATATTTTATGTAACAATAAAGAGAAAGAAACTTGTATGTTTGTAAGAAAGTGGTAACGTTTGATTTCACTGAGAGCAACAGTTTCTGATTATATCAAGACTGACATGTAACTGTCACTTAAATATGTTCCCAAGCCCTCGACACTATCATTTGCTACCATGAAAAAGGCCAAGCTTGATTTACAGGACTTGAAATCATTTGCCCCTTACTACTGTGGGCTGGAATCATGCAAGGGAACTCAAGAAATTGTTCATGTGAGGAAAATAACCAGCTTACATATAGAATGTTGATTGTTCTACTTGAGTGCCTGTTTGAGTTTTAAATTATGCACAGAGTGTATTCTGAGGTTTTCTTTTACTAGTGACCTTTACAATGTTAGTGAGTCAAGGAATTGAAGAAAACAGATAAGAATTGTCTGAATATTTTCCATAGAAAGCATATCTTTTATTTCTCTAACTTTTTCAATGAAGCTAATGAAGTAAAGAAATGTAAATATTGTTATATATGTTATCAGGGACAATGATAATATCTGGAGGTAGTGATGGTTTGATAGCAGTAAGTAGTCCCACTACAGGTATGACAGTCAGGGTGATCAGTGATCATAAAGGGGCGCCGATAACCAATCTAGATGTTACCAATAAACAGGTACAATACTTTTATACTTACAAAACAGCTGCTCAAGTCTTCCAAACTACACTTCTTTGACCTTAGTCTTTTTTTTCCAAGTCAATATTGGAAGTCTGCAATCTATTATAACATAGTAAAAGTAATAAAAGATGGTGTAAATATATAAAAGATTTTGTTTTTAACACGTCATTGGGTCTTGGATATTATAAATTAATTAGAAAAAAAAGTTGTCATTTCTTTTGTAAACAATTGAATACACTAAACAGATTGAAATAGGGCAAAAGGTTGAAACTTTGTATAAATATGTTTGTAATGTGAGAAAGCTGTCAAGCTAGCTTATGGAAGGTTGGTGGTTCTTCTCATGCTTGTGCCTAAAATAATGCATAAAGGGGCTCCACAGTTCTTCCTCCATCAGTAAAGGAGTCACCTTTTGCCCTTTCATGTGCCATTTGGGCTAAAAAACCAACAAATGTTTACTCTTTCTTTATTTTAACAAAAACATTGAATAAATGTTATGTCACAGGGTGAGAAAAATGTGCAGCCTGACCGGGACTCGAACCCGGGACCCTCGGAACACGGTTCCGTGGCTCTACCGACTGAGTTATCCGACCGTTTACACATCTTCTTCCCTAAATAGTGAACAGTTCTGAACCGTGACAGTTACAACAATAATTTTAACTACTGAATAGATATAAAGTTACAGATATTATATTCGAAAATGTTACATATATAATTATGTTCTGTTGAATTTTGTATTAAGGATCAAGATGTGGGAGTATCTGCCCCTTTGCTCTGGTTGGCTACCAGTGCAGATAGGCGTGTCAGTGTATGGAGTGCTGATTGGTCAAAAGATTTTTGTGAGCTTGTTGATTGGCTGACATTCCCAGCTCCAGCCTTTGGGCCTGACGGCTCAGTATTGCCAAAAAATGATCAGGTGAAGTTTTTCATAGTATGATAGAGAAAAGTTTGTCATTTTATTTGGAGTTTAAAGAAAAGTATGTGATATTGTTAAAAGTCCTAAGACTGAAGTAGATTTTTTTAGATAAAAAATTCCGTAAAACAAGTGAAGAAACCAGTTGATTAAATCAGAAAAAAACCATTCTTCATGAGAAAGCATTATACTGCAAACTTTATGTTAAATTGTTACATGTAAGGATGTTATTATGTAAGGATGTTATTATGTAAGGTGTAGGTTTGAATGTCTTGTCTATGTTTTTCTAAATATATTACTATTTACTATGTGACAATATTAAAAAAATTCTTGTACATTTGTTTTCTTGAATAAAGTTGTTTTATTTTTAAACAAAAAAGTTTTTTTTAATTATTATTATTAATACAGGCTGTATTCAATAAATTACCACCAAGTATAGCGAGATTTTCACCAGAAGAGCCAGATATTATTGTATATACTGGCTATGGTATGCAGAAAAATATGCAGTTCTACAGCTTGTCTCAAAGAAAGGTAAATTTACCTGTTTTTTTCGTTTGTTTGTATTATTTTTGTACTTCAAAAATTGTCATTACAAAAGCAAATGAGCCGCGCTATGACAAAACCAACATAGTGCGTTTGCGACCAGCATGGATCCTGACCAGCCTACGCATCAGCGCTGTCTGATCAGGGTCCTTGCTGTTCGCTTACAAATATAATAAGTAGAGAAACCGATATAGCGAACAGCATGGATCCTGATCAGACTGCGCGCGTGCGCAGACTGGTCTGGATCCATGCTGGTCGCAAACGCACTATGTTGGTTTTGTCATGGCGAAGAATATTAACAAGACATTAAAAGAACAATGCCCTATTCATATTTTTACTGCTGCTACAGACAGTTTGAATAATGTATAAAAAAACTAGGCTTTTTAATTGTTTATTTAATGGTCCACTAATGAACTATTATGACTTGTATTACTACTTCATTTTCATGATTCAAAAAATTTAATTAACAACAACAGTTAAACATATTTAGTTATAGAACAATCATACAAAACACACATTTATTTTGGTATAAGTTTATTCAAGTTATTTTTACATAATGAACCTATCTATAGTCACTCATGCTGTGCCATATTGTTCAGAAATAAGTGGCAAATACTAAGAGAGGACAAGTAGCATCTGATGAATGAATCATATTATAAGTAACAAAATTGATGAATTCAAATTTGTATTAAAATTTATATTTAGGAGGAATGAATTGATAATTTGTGATGAATGATTTCAGGTTGTGAGGACATTAGCATTAACTCACTGGTGTAGAAGTTTAGATTTGGTCGCTGAATGTCCACTCATTGCTATAGGTGCTAATGGTATGTATTGTCTTGATATTTAACCCTATAACTGCTAAATTTTTGTAATGGATTTGTCTAGCTTTTGAATTTGGAACAGTCCATTCAAAGTTTAGGGGATTTCAGTATCAGCATACAAAAATTGATCAGTCATCAGTATTTAGCCTGAGAATGCATGGATGTACTGGATGGCTTGGCTCTATACTGGTGGCAAAGCTTATCACTTTTTGTTCCAGCAGTGTAAAGGTTCATGATACATATATCTTTAGTAATATCACTGACTAAAATAATGTTTGATATATGGTGATTTATTTAATGGTGGCAGTTAAGATGTTTTGTGATTGCATTGCACACTACATTCCAAACTCCTCAAAGAGGTTACATCACACTTTGCTACTTGAACCACAACCATCACCATAACACAAAGATTGGTGTATCATTTAACTAAGGGAGTCACTTGTTACTGTGAAAAATACTTTTATTTTTACAAAAAATGTTTTTAACCAGGTTTTCAACGAAAACCGGGTTATTGTAATGCCGAAGTCGGCGGGCGGGCGTCAACTTTTGGTTTCCGCTCAATAACTTTAGTTTGCTTTGGCCTATTGACACCAAACTTGGTGTGTAGGTAGCTTATATCAAGAGGCAGCTTGGGATTGCTACCCAGGTGTCAGTGATCAAGGTCAAGGTCACTGTTACTAAAAATAGAAATTCAGTTTCCGCTAAATAACTTGAGTTTGCTTTGGCCTATTGACACCAAACTTGGTGTATGGATAGCTTATATCAAGAGGCAGCTTGGGATTGCTACCCAGGTGTCTGTGATCAAGGTCAAGGTCACTGTTACTAAAAATAGAAATTCAGTTTCTGCTCTATAACTTGAGTTTGCTTTGGCCTATTGACACCAAACTTGGTGTATGGATAGCTTATATCAAGAGGCAGCTTGGGATTGCTACCCAGGTGTCTGTGATCAAGGTCAAGGTCACTGTTACTAAAAAAAGAAATTCAGTTTCTGCTCAATAACTTGAGTTTGCTTTGGACTATTGACACCAAACTTGGTATATGGATAGCTTATATCAAGAGGCAGCTTGGGATTGCTACCCAGGTGTCTGTGATCTAGGTCAAGGTCACTGTTACTAAAAATAGAAATTCAGTTTCCGCTCAATAACTTGAGTTTGCTTGGGCCTATTGACACCAAACTTGGTGTATGGATAGCTTATATCAAGAAGCAGCTTGGGATTGCTACCCAGGTGTCTGTGATCTAGGTCAAGGTCACTGTTACTAAAAATAGAAATTCAGTTTCCGCTCAATAACTTGAGTTTGCTTTGGCGTATTGACTCCAAACTTGGTGTATGGATAGCTTATATCAAGAGGCAGCTTTGGATTGCTACCCAGGTGTCTGTGATCAAGGTCAAGGTCACTGTTACTAAAAATAGAAATTCAGTTTCCGCTCAATAACTTGAGTTTGCTTGGGCCTATTAACACCAAACTTGGTGTATGGATAGCTTATATCAAGAAGCAGCTTGGGATTGCTACCCAGGTGTCTGTGATCAAGGTCAAGGTCACTGTTACTAAAAATAGAAATTCAGTTTCAACTCAATAACTTGAGTTTGCTTTGGCGTATTGACTCCAAACTTGGTGTATGGATAGCTTATATCAAGAGGCAGCTTGGGATTGCTACCCATGTGTCTGTGATCTAGGTCAAGGTCACTGTTACTAAAAATAGAAATTCAGTTTCTGCTCAATAACTTGAGTTTGCTTTGGGCTATTGACGCCAAACTTGATGAATGGGTAGCTTATATCAAGAGGCCGCTTGGGATTGCTACCCAGGTGTCTGTGATCAAGGTTAATGCATTTAGTTTTCATGTTATAACTTGAGTTTGCTTTGACCTTTTGTCACCGAACTTGCTGAGTGGCAGCTTTGGATTGCCACTAAGATATCTGGGAGCAAGGTCAAGGTAATTTGCTTACAATAGAATATTCAGTATCTACTCAATAACTTCAGTGCACTTTGACCTATTGATTGCTGTCACATCAAAACTTGGTCGTTGAAAACCTGGTTTTCGTCGCATTGCGGCGCTTCTTGTTTGTTTATATATTAGACACAAACGGGCACCTGAGTAAAACCACGGACATTCCATAAGCAAGCTGGATAGCTTTCTCACAAGAAAGAATGCAAAGACCCTTGTTCAGCTCAAACCATTTATGGTGAGTGGCAAGTGGTTTGAAGTCAGCAACCCTAACCACTCAAGTCTATGATTTCCATACACGTACATGTATCTGATATCTGGTATTAGAAAATACAAAACTAAAGTATGAACACAATTGCTGCATTGTCAATGAATGAAATAATTAAACGATTATATAGGAACTTAATTATCCTGTATCAGACATTATGTAATTAAAGCTTAATTGTACCTTTGTTTCAGAGCGCCTGCTGAAACTATTGGACTATTTTGAAGGCAGTTTCCAGGACTTTATAGGACATAATGATAGAGTTCAGACTGTAAAATTCTCTCCTGATGGCAAATATCTTTTCTCCGCCTCTCATGCAGAAATATTCATCTGGGATGTGGCACTATGATAATATAGAATGTTACACTGAGGCCTTGTATTGAATATTCATCTAGGATGTGACACTTGCATTGAATATTCATCTGGGATGTGACATTTTAATTGTACAAGATGTAACAGTGACATGTTGGAGTGTAACATTTTTATGTGACACTTCAATAGCATGAAATATTACACTGAGATGTTGAGTGTAACATTTTGACAGATAGGAAACTGTGATATTTATGAATGTTACACTGAAATCTGAGGTGCAACATAAGTGAGATATGCTGTAAAGTTAGTGTAGAATGTTACACTGATTACACTGTGATAGTAAAGATATTACTATTTCAAAATTTAGTGTAACATTAACAGTGTTATTTTTATTTTACATCTGAGATGATATTCTGTGATAAATGTTTAAAATGTAATGAATTACTGAGTCTGTTATTTGAAGAGCTATTGACTATGTTCAAATAAATTTTCATTCCCGCATGAATCTTGCATGAGAAAGGAATTATTATTAGTGTTAATAGGTAATAATGCATGTAATGTTACACTACCATCTTGTCAAAAGTTGTGATACATGTTTAAAGTTAAGGTATTTGATCAATTAGTAACAAATTGATAAATAAAATTATGTATTAGTTAATGATTGATTTGCCACCTTATATACAAGATTATTTATATAAAAGATGTTTAAGATGCTACTTAACCAGGTCTGATATTTATAATTGCATTTAGTTTTATGTATATTTTTGTATTAAAAACATCCACATTTATAAACCATTCCAATAATTATATATTTTAAGAATTCCGTTAATTATGTACCTCTAAATTTTTAATGTTTTTGCTTGATATGCTAGTAGATGTATACTCATAATTTCTAATTGACCAGTAGTTTTGATTCCGGTTTTGGTTTGAAGTGAAGCCAAAAATCAGTGATTATAAATTTAATTTGTAAAAATATACCATTTACAAGTTATCATGCAAGTATTTATAGCATCATGTGTTTTGTAAAAACTTGCTTATCAATGTTGTAAATGTAGATGAAACTTCTATAGGATTTTGTAGGGAAACATTACATACATGTACTTCTCATGTACTGCAAAAGGGAAAAATAATTTCATGAAAATTTTCCTGTACAGTTTAATACATGTATAGTACAGGCATATATTTATATAATCTATGTGTGTATAGAAATATAAGTGTATAAAATGTATTGTATAAAAATAGTGATAAAATCTCATATTTTGTTAATGTCCGTCCATTTATTTATTTATTATGTGCTAAATAAAAGTAGAAACCATATCTTGTTTTTTGTTTTACTTTAAAAGTAAAAGTAGGTACATTCCTGCGCTAGAATCCATTTGTAGCATAAAATCATGTACATAATTTTATGTCTTAATTTTCATGGATATAAGGTTATACTTCCGTTTTATTTTCGACTTGCCTTGAAATACACCTTTACTGGAATGAAATTGTTGAGGAATATTAGTTTATGATCTTTTTCAGACAAATTCATTGTACAAATAATGGTTTTTTAATATTACACAAGGTTTAAGTTGGATGGTTCTTACTGGTACCTCAGTTCATATACCGGTACTTAATTTTACCTGCATCATCAATGATGGGTACCAAATCTGTAAGAGGTCCGATATGAATGTAGGACAAAACCCCACCAGTTAAAACCCCACCACTCAAAATTTTATAGAGTGGACAAAACCCCACCACTGAATTTTATAGAGTGGACAAAACCCCACCACTATATTTTACAGAGTGGACAAAACCCCACCACTTCAGTTTTATAGAGTGGACAAAACTTTCTTGTAAACATGTTAAAAAAACAAACAATTGTGCATCATCAGAAACTCAAAAGAATGTGTGAACAACTCATCAATAAGGAGAAGACTGTACCTGAGCTTCTTTAGGCTAGCGGCCACTGTATCCGCTTAAACTAAGTACAATGAAGGAAAATAGACTCAACTGAATAAACTAGAAATGTGCTATACAAAATGTGCTATCATTAATTGATGAAAATGTGCTATATTCTTGATTAATAGTAAGAAGTTTATTTTTTATATAAATAAATTGAAGAAATGAATTTGAAGAAACTAATAATAATGGATAATTCAAGGTCATAAATGTGGCACAGTCTCATATAAACGACTACTCTTTGATGTTGATTTAAAACAGTTTGTAAATTGTTTGTATAATCTCATTCATTATATTATATTGCTATTGAAATAAATGCTATATGCTATAATTATCATGTTTTGTTCTTTAGGGATTTAGATTTTATTTGTGTGTACAGATTGAAACACCTTTTTTGCAATCAAAACATCAATAAATAATCTGTTTTGTTCTTCAGGGATTTGGATTAAGTTTTTTGTGTACAGTTTGTACACCTTTTTTGCATATTGCACATGCAAGATGTAAATGCATTGTTAATAAAATTGTTCATTCTTATATTACACAAATGTTATATTGAACTTTAAAAAAAATGTGTATATTATATATATTTTAATTCATCAAATCTTGCCCAATAATTGGTACATTGTGTAAGTGGTGGGGTTTTGTCCACTCTGTAAAATTTAGTGGTGGGGTTTTGTCCACTCTGTAAAATTTAGTGGTGGGGTTTTGTCCACTCTATAAAATTAAGTGGTGGGGTTTTGTCCACTCTATAAAATTTTGAGTGGTGGGGTTTTAACTGGTGGGGTTTTGTCCGTCTTCCGTCAGATATATTTTGGTGGTTAACTTCCAGTGATTTTTTTACCTTCTATAACAAAGACCTATGAAAGGTTTATGGCTTTTCTCAATTGAAATTTCCTTTAGAATCATGCAGTTTTTTCCAATATTGACTTGAAACAGCTATTTTACTTCTTAAATTATCCATAATTTTCTCCCAAATAAAGAGGCTAAGGCCTCTTCCCAGCTAAGTGAGAACAACAGCGGACCACTGAATTCAAACAATTTGTGAGCCCACTTAGTTGGACAGGGTATTCCAAAAAATATTGCAATCAATGCGATATTTACAGACATTGCAATATATTGTGAACTATCTAAAATGCTTGTAAATCATAGGTAAGACCAACAGTACCTTTATACCAGTTTGTTTATATCATGGTTGCGATATCAAATATATAGAGGATATTTGTTTAGTTCAGTGTAAGATCGGAATATATTTCACCGAGTGAGCACCAAAAGGTATATTTCACGAGTGGCGCAGCCACGAGTGAAATATGAACTTTTGGTGTTCACAAGGTGAAATATATTTCGATCTTACACTAAACTAAACAAATTTTCTTTTTATTACATGCAAAGAAACGTTTTTAAAAAGACATTAAACCTAATACTGAATGAAAAGCGCGCCAAATAATAATACAACGTGATGTCATTAAGTTGGTACCCAGTACTGTGCACGCTGGTATTTCACTGAAACAACGTGAGGGGCTTAAATTCAAAACAGTGAAATTATCAAAGTGGTAATTTCACTGTTTGAAACAGTGAAATTACCAGTTTTATATCACTGATATATTTCTATAAACCACCGAAAAGCATGTAATAAATAATCATAAATCCCATCAGTGACGTAAAATTCTGTCATGTAAGAAAACGTTTTTAAGAAGCTTATGAAAGGTCAGTGGTTCAACTCGGGTCCTGCTTCTGTCTGAAAGAGAAGCACATTTAGACTCCATTAGTAATAAATGAATATATCAATGTTAGTAAGAAACTAAACATGGTCAATGAATGGGACGAGGTGGTTTCTTGGTACTGTTATGAAGAATATCCCGATGGATACAATATGGTCAGCGTTACTTATCACTTCCCCCTTTCCCCACACACCTCTGTAAAAAAATCACAACTGTACAAATTTTATCTATTAAAACATTCCCTTCTCAATTGATCATGAAAGATACCTTGGACACAGCATTCTCATGTGTGGGGGGAAAATTACAACTTCTAAAACAACTGTGTCACCATTTTTATTTGCTAAAGACAAGTTAGCAAAAATAGTTACAGCAATTAAATAAGCTTTCATCTATTCAAGTTTATTAAAGTCTTCTATTATACATGCAGTAAAATAGAATAATGATAGTTGAACAATTGGTAGTACATGTAATTGGTATAATGTAGAGATAAGCCAATTCATCAACAAATTCTTCAACTTTTGACAAAATCCGAGAAAAAATAAAACAATAGGCACAAATAACAACATCTGAGTTGTATCAGAATGTACGACAGTTTGGGTCAATTTGACACATGAAGATTATTTCCAAGATAATGTCAGAAGCCCATGTTGTTGATGAACTGGAAATAGTTCCAAGATTTTTTTGTCTTATTTATTAACGATATACATGTAGATTAAATAACATTTAATACATAAAATATAAACAAAATGATAATATATAACAGACAACAAAGATATCTAGAGAAAAATATTATTTGCAAAATTTAACCTGGCATAAAATAGAAGATAAAAATTATCTAATTCTGAATATAAATAAATTACAAGTCATGCAGTTTAAAAAAAGATATTTTTCTATAAAAAAAGAAAGAAAAGAAAAACAGTTCTTAAGCAACAGATACATTTCTCGTTTTGTGTCTTTTTGATGGTAAATCAACAGAAAAATGTATTTTTTACATGGGGAAATTAAATGTACATTTTATTTGAATCTTTCTGAAGACTTACTTTTTTGGCCCCAAATTTTTAATGAAATTTTTTATAAAAGGGTAAATCTAAATTAAATATTGAATTTGCACATTACAACTGTTACATTGTATTTATAATGATTTATTAAGAGGGTTATTCAGTTTTCAATGTCACAAATCACCTAATATTAACATCTCCAGTGCTTAGAAAAAAATACATTTGCAGCCAAATAGTGCTTTAACAATCATAGACAAAGTATATAATACTTGTTTGCAAGTCACATGGGATTGACATCTTTTAAAACAAGTGACTTGTCTTACATGCTGGGGTGTAAGACAGGTTTTTCTAGCATCTGTGTAAACGGTAGATAATCCTGTCTGATATGCAAGAAAATATATATTTATATACTAAATGTATAAAAGAATGGAAATAATATCAAAAGTAAGATATGTCAAGGAATAAGTAATGCCTCCAGAAACAAACCGCATGCGTTTCAAAGGTTAATATTTTAATTTAATTTAATTATATTTCACTTTATCTCATTTTTATTCTCATCTATACACATAAAAAATACTAACACACAATTATTGCAAACATGAAAAATGTCTTCATAAAACCAGTTTAATGAACTAAAAAAAACCAGCAGAGAAGTAAGTTTAAAAGTTCGGAGTAAAAGTTTATTGAGTTCTAACATATATTTCTTTAATAAAATGAGTATATATGGAAATTTCAGATTCAAATATCATTATATTATGCAAAAAAGAGTCCATAATCAAATCTTAGTATAGTATATTAACATATTCAAATTACTTAGATACCTAAATGGCATTTTGAGAAAAATCTTAATTGACACCTTAATTATTAGTATTAAGTTTGTAAACATAGATATTTTAACAATATGTAAAGTGGATAAGATAATATGTCATGCATCTCTAATGTTAAGTGAAGTTATTGCTGTATAAATCATACAATTCAAATTCAAGTCTAGTTGTATGATGTATCCCTCTAAATGAATGGAATAAACCTGGTTTAAAAGCAAGTTAATTACTAATACATTTACAAAACTGTTATTACCATTACTGTAATTTAAACCTGTGACCTGCTGTATTTTTAAAATGGATTTCTCCAACTGAAATCTTTGGAACTGTCCATTTTCAATTCTGGGGATATCAAGATCAAAGTTGATCAGTCAACAGTATAAAGCCTGGTGTCAGACTGCACATATGTTCAGGCTAGCCTGGCTCTATACTGGTGACAAGGGATATCACTTTTGGTTCCAGCAAGTTAAAGAAAGCCCATAATTCACAGAACAGTAAATTATTACTAATCGATTATTTCTAAGACTTCAAAAACATTAAAGTTAAATTATTCTGTCAGTCTGTCACAAATCAATCTGCGTAGCAAATCATTCTTACTTGGTACATATAAATCTAATACATGATTTTCATATTAAGTAATCCAGGTGAAAGAATCCAGAATTATTTGTTGTCTTGCTTCTTTGTTGTCATCAATTTTCTTGAATTGTTCTTCTTATATTATTATAGCACTAATAAAACAAAGTTGGTATCTATGGAAATATGGCAACAAAAGGGATTAAAAATAAATATGACTTTAAATGAAAATAAACATCTAGTAACATATTAATATACTAGTCATAATGTGGGAAAGTAGGCGGAGTTAAGGTGGTGAAGGCTGTCAGTACCCTCCTCCTAGCAGAGCAAGTAAACACCTCTTGTAATCTCCAGATGTATCTCCCTGAAATATAGTAAAAACAACAGGTCACTTGTTGAGTTGTTATTTAATATGATTTATATGAATTAATGATAACATAAGTTGTCTAAGGTTAAGCCATACAGTTTGTTTTTTTAAACACATGTTATACATTAAAAGTCATGGGGAAATTACTTTTTCCTATATAAATTGAGCAATTTTCAAGCTTTACTGATGAAAGTTTTATTTCTGTTATAAATGGACACCTTCCCTAAACTAGCTGGACAGCTTCCTAACATGTAGGAATTCAAAGTGTGTGTCTGGATTTGAACCCACAGCAGTAAGGGGCAAGTAATTCAAAACCTGCAACCATAACCACAAACGGAGAATCCTTGTTGAAAGACTTCAGCCACTATCTTTGGCTCTTAATATAATAAGCAATAATATTATAGCATGAGCTGCTTGACCTTAAACGCAGGAAATATGTTTTGTAGCGCACCAACACAATTTACGTCAGATGGTGCCGAAACAGGAAAGATGATTTTGACTACAACCTTAAACCAACATCAAACAGGTCAAAAAAGCAGGAAATATGAATAATATTGATTGACTAAAATTGACAATATAAATCACACATGTTTTAAAACAAAATATAATTATACATTTCTTATAGCTGTCATTTATCAACTTTTACTGTAAAAATCAGCAGACATTATGACAGTCTCTACATGCACTAAGAGCTGGACGGTCATATCTATATAGACTGACCACATTTTACATCAGTTATAAAAACATTCATGCAATGTGATTCTTTGTTAAATTTAGAACACCATTCTCCTTACATACATCATACTGTACAATATTAATTATCATGTAGGAATAATCCATATCAACACACATATAATGTAATGTTAACTAACTAAATAAACTATTATTATTATTAGATTCACTGTCACCTATATGATTATTTTTTATTCACCAATATGTTGATATTATATTTATCAAAATATCCTCATTTTTAAGGAATAATTAAAAAAAATCTCTATGCTTTTTCATAAGTTGTAACAGAAAAATTTTGAATCTATAGTTTGTTTGTTTGAATGGGTTTTAAGTCACACTGACAAAGTATAGGTCATATGGCGACGTTCCAGCTTTACTGGTTGAGGAAGACCTCAGGTGTCCTTCCGTGCACTATTTCAGGTACAAAAGCAGGCACCTGAGTAGAACCACCATAATTCCTGGACATAATAAGCTGGATAGTTTTCTAATATGAAAGAATCATAAGTCCCTGTCAGAATTCGAACCCACAACTGTGAGGGGCAAGTTGTTTGAAGTAAATGACCTTAATCACTCTGCGATGGATGCGCTTTTGAATCAAGACCGAAAAAAATAGTATCCAGGTTTGCATTTCATAGCAAATACCTTTTCCCCCCTAAATATTAATGTTATCAAGGTGAAAGGATTCTCTTATATAGCTGTTTCCATAGTTTTACATTTCTGTAAAGTTTCAATAAAATCTGATTATAGACTGTAGTGCTTAATAGTGAGTAGACAATTAGAAATTGTCACTACAGCAAGTGACTGTAAAAGTTGAAATTGCATAAAAGTAAAATGCAGGTAAAGCAGGTAAAATAGTTTTGCACTCACACACTGATTTTTTTAAAGCTCCATTCAGGTTCTGTATATTCAACTGCAACATTTTGTGTAAAGTTTTTTTCCCCTTAATACATGTAAAATTTGTGAAATTGCATATTTGCAGATTTTATAACCAAAGCAGTCCTCTGGGTTTAAGATATAGGCACTATAACTTTAACACCACAGATGTCACAAACGATAGTGTAAATGTTAAGGGCATGCAACAAATTAAGATACATGTACATGTAATACATGTCAATCATGTAAACAGTGGATAATTATCAACATCAATAAACATACAAAATATACTTGATTTAATAAAAACATATTGTCCAATATAAATATTATATATATGTATCCTCTCTAAAAGAGTTAGTAAAACATTTGAATAAAAATTGCCTGACTTTTATAAATACTCTACAACCATATTTTTGTTTGAACTTTTATCACCTCCATGAAACCATAACCATGTGCTTTATTTACTTACATATTGTACTTGAGACAAAAGGAGATAATGTGGAGAATAAAAAGATAAGAGCGCTTAGTTCATTAAGGTACCAAAACTGAATTTTTTATTTTTATTTTTGAATACTGTTAGTTAACTGTTTACAAATTGTCATATAAAAAACCTGGCCCATGATAATTCATTTTGTATATAACATAAAATGTCACCAATTATGATAATTCTTATTCACCAATCTGTTGACAATTATACTTATCAAATAACCCATTTTTTAGGAATGAAAAAAAAAATCCAGTGATTGAGTGAAGTCAGAAAAGAAATGAAAAAGAAACACTGTTCTTCCCCAAGTTTCAAAATCCTCTAGCTCTGCTTGAATACCTCTATGAAATTATAGAATTAAGTAACAGTACACAGAAAAGCAAGGCAGAAAGTAAGCATGCTACAAAACTACATGTATGTAATTATATACATTTTTATTAATTGGTTATTCTCACAAATTGACACTTATGTGATTTATCATATCTTTCAATTTTGAAACCATCTTGAAAATACATGACTTCAAAATTCAGTTAAAATAATCCAATAAGTGTAGGCTTATTTTCAGCAGTAGTAAGTCACCTTAGTGCAATAACGGGTTAACTCCTTTAAAATTCTAATTGGTGTTAACCCTTTACTGCACTAAGGTGACAATAAAATAATTACATGAAGGTTTTATAAAAATAATTTTCCATATGCAATATGGTACAATAAAACAAAAGCTGGAATTTATCTTTGAAGATCAGTAAAGCATAATCATACAAATAATTTAATTTTTTAATTGTATGCAGTACAGCTGTAACTTATCTTGGCATTTCGATTAACTAATCAATTACATGTACATAAGGGAAACCATTCTACAATATAATTCCCATTTAACCTAAAGAGCACAAAGTGAGGGAACTTGTACAAATATCTCAGATTTACAATGACTCAAAAGGAGGTTGCCATTAAAAGAATGGTTACCCGTTGATTCTATCAAAAAACCTCTACTGACCACTATGGTCACTGTATGGTGTAGTAGTGGAGTCTATGGACTTTCACACAGGAGATAGTGGTCTGAAACCAACTTAAGACCAAATTCAATAAAACTGCCTGATCAATTGTTAATCATTATTTTTCAAGTTAATTTGTTTGCTTTTCCTTTTCTTAGACAGTCCTAATACAGGTCCAGTTCACAATGCCTATAAAATGCTATATTCCCATAAATGGTGTCACAATTCGTAACATGGATGATGTCATGTTTTGTTTTTTCCCAATTTCACAATAATGAAAACAATTCCAATTGAACTGTCACCCATTACACAAAGGATGAATACAAAATTACTGTTTCTGTCTGTGAAACCACACAAGTATCTATTTGTAAAAATAATGTAAACAGCCCATTCAATACATGTAGATAATTATATACATATAAACTAAAACAAGGTACAGAGTAAAGACAGGTGTAAAAAATATAAGGAACCACATACATCAAGTAGTGGTTCTAGTAGCCTGCGCCAATCATTCCAAGTATTACACGACGGTAATCTCCAGAAATATCGTCCTGAAATTTACAGAGAGTGCTTCGTGCCAATTAAGAAAAATCACAAAAAGAAACATACAAAAGATGGAGAAAATATACAGGGAATGTATGTGGGGAACATGGCATAGACAACAAGCTACTAGGAATGTGCTTTTAGGCCATCACCTGTATCTCTTCCACTTCTACTAAACCCCCAAATCCAACAGATCAGTTAAATTCAAAGGGGCATAACTCTGCATACTGATTATTAACTCATTAGCAATATTTGGACAAAGCGTATTTTTTCTTCTTTTTTTTTTATAATTTATCTTTTTTTTTTATTTCAATTATTAAGGCAACTCAAATACTTGTCTCAAGAAATATGTGGTTCTTTATACAGTGAAAGCAATGTTTAAATTAGTATGTTACATTTTCTTAAAACTTCAAATAAATTATTGAAGCACTTGGTTAGAATGAAAAGTAAGTCACGATATGGGTAATATCTATAAATTATATGTCTATCTTAATAAACAAGTACAACACTGACACCAAATCAGGCAAATCTGATTTAAAGTTACCAATCTACAAATGAACCATGTAGGTCTGTATCGCTCACCTAAGTCAACTGTAAAGTGGACAACATTATCCTAGTGGTAAGACCATTTTAGAACTTTGGCTTTTTTGTATGTGTGTATTTGAGTTTATTTATACCTGCCACCAGTTGCCCATATGGGCGAGTCCTACAGAAGCATATTAGTCAATTTAGATTTTGTATGATATTGCAAGATACAGATGCAGAAAGATGCCCCAATTCTAGAAGCTTTCTTGGTTTTTCAGCGTGCCAAGTGTTTAAGTACTAGTACATGGAACGTACATGGAACGTCGATTTAAAGTCTCATATGAAAGATTCGTTAGTAGTTTAAGTTGGCCAGCCCGGGAATCCAAACCGCAATGTTGAGATTACAAGTCTCATGCTTTAACTGATTGAGCTATGCCGCTCGCACCTTTGGCTTAAAAGGAGATTTTGTTTAAATACATTGAGGATAACAACACACAATATATGATGGACAATAGGCAATCACATAAAGTCTCAGCACTTTGTCCTCATGTAGTCACAGCAATTTTAATCTTAAACACAGATTTGTCTGCATTTTCGGGAAATTTGAATATGTAAAATCATGAACCTGTTATAATGTAACAGGAATCAGTCAAGCTTAACTGTCTAACTAAAACCCTAGTACAGGTAGACAACTTTCATGGCAATAAACCGGCTTTATAAGACCTCATAAAACTAACAGAATACATTGTCAGAACAATCTATGGTCAATTTCCTAGCAAGTAGAAACTTTTATGATATTTTGAAAAACAAAGTTCAAAACAATTTCCCACATTCCCCTAATAAAATAATACATAACACCTATACCGAAAAGAAACTTGAAATATCTGGCATTTTTAAACTGATTTGAAGTACAATTCTAAATGAGCCTATATTTCATATATTCATTTTGAAAAACCATCTCAAAGAATTTTTTTTTTCTACAGAAATATTCAATATAATACTACTTTCAAACTTTTACAATATACAAAACATGAAAATATTCTATTATGTAGACTGGTTAACAAAAAATATTTCATATTGTTCTGTTTTACAGGCTAAAAATATCAAACAGTCCTTGAATGTGTCAGTAAAAATTTCCTGAAGAGGTTAACAGAAAGGACATGAATGGCAACATGTCTGGGGTTTGCAATCTTAGTGCCTGAAAGGGTGGATGGACCCTCATTAAGCATATAATACATACATACATACATAATAAAATTACATAATTTTTTTTATTGTTTTTTTTTTCTCAAGCCGAAACATGAAATACAGTCTGTCGACCTGTTCACAGGTTTTATTTGTACACAGGACTGTTATTTCAAGGTAAAATTTAAATACAGTCTGTAGACCTGTTTACAGGTTTTATTTATACACAGGACTGTTATTTCAAGGTAAAATTTAAATACAGTCTGTAGACCTGTTTACAGGTTTTATTTATACACAGGACTGTTATTTCAAGGTAAAATTTAAATACAGTCTGTAGACCTGTTTACAGGTTTTATTTGTACACAGGACTTTATTTCAAGGTAAAATATAAATACAGTCTGTAGACCTGTTTACAGGTTTTATTTGTACACAGGACTGTTATTTCAAGGTAAAATATAAATACAGTCTGTAGACCTGTTTACAGGTTTTATTTGTACACAGGACTGTTATTTCAAGTTAAAATATAAATACAGTCTATACTAACCCTAACAAATTGTTCCAAACTTTGACCATACATCTTCTGGAACTCTTGTTTGATCTGTACCATATCAACCTCTGCCCTTGTTACCATGACTCGAATCAATGTTCTATCATCTGTACCAGCACCCTGTAATAGTCAATATTCTTAGCATTAATTCTCATTTATACCAGTAACATGTGCATTCATAGTGCTATTAAAAAGTATGGTTTACTATTATTATTATTATCTGTATTGTTTGGATATAAATATTTTAAATGGATGTGTCCATCTTTCAATCTGGACAAAACAATCACCATCTATATCATTTTTGATTTTTATTTCATTTTTACGTCGCACCAACACAGTGTAGGTCATATGCCCACTTTCCAGCTTTACTGGTGGAGGAAAACCTCAGGTGCCCCTCAGTGCATTATTTCAGTCACAAACAGGCACTTCAGTAGAACCGATGATGTTCAATAAGCTAGCCGGATGAAAGATTGGGTTTAAGTCAACGACCTTAACCACTGAGCAACTGACGCCCCTCATAATCTTTAGGGACATTTCAAAATAACTACATGTACTGAAGCAGCACAGGTCCAACTTCAAAATGTAAGATACCTGAAACCCCTAAATTAAATTGAGCATTACTTTAATGATTATATAAAGAAAAAGAATGCTTTGAAGTGTATTAAAATCTGAAACTTAAGGCAAATGCCTAAAAACTATTTTACCTGAAAACTTGTACACATGGAACATTGCAGACCATAAACAGATGATAATTATCTATTACACAAACTTTTCTATCTCCAACGTTTCGAGGGGTAAAACCCCTCTTCTTCAAGGAGTTTCTGTTTATTTTTATAAATCACATATTTATCTTCTAACATGTCTTATCTTACACTATGTAATGTACCAGTATACAGAAATGACGTCTGTGATGACAACCCGTTTCGAGGGGTTAAACCAATCTTTTTCAAGAAGTTTCTGTTTATTTTTACAAATCAGATATTTATCTTCTTACAGGTCTTATCTTACACTATGTTATGTATATGGAAATGACGTCATTGACGACATCCAATCATAATTAGCTGGCACAGATATGCCAGCTAATCTTAATTTGCACCAGTCGCATGAGTATTTTCAGTTGTTGCAAGCAGGTAAAGTACATGTACAAGAATTACGAACATTTTACTTCAGTCAGTCTTTAGAAATTAACAAACATATTTTGGCTGTAAAACAAAGAGACAAAACAATATGTTATTGTACAAACCTTCATGGATCTGTATAATTTTTCTGCAAAGTATCCTGGCTTGTTTCGGACACATTTAACTGTAAAGAAAGAAAAAGTTGGCCCATATTTAAAATTTTTAAACAATAACAAAATTAATCAAATAACAATAGTGAATAATGGCTTGTTTTATAACCAACTTCTTTCAGTAGTTGCTAATTAGAACTATTTTAAAACCTATAATGCAGTTAAACATGAGCAATAAAGAATGCTTATTACCCTAGTTTTATTGCTCAAACTGTTGTCTTTGTTCTAGTGAGCTAGAACTCTATTCCTTAACAAGATATGTTTGCAAAACATGTATGCCCCCTATCGGCAGCCAATTTGTCATGTGATCAGGTTATTATGCATGACTTCTGACCAAGTGAACAAGCAATTAATAAGGGTTATCTAGTATCTACTGGTCATGACTAGTCACAAGGTAATATAATTGTGACCCCATAGGTTGTGTGCAGCAATTAAAGTTATTAAAAAACTTACAAAATAATATATACATAAATTTTATGAATCACATAGGCCTCATTAATGACAGCCAAGTTGTTATATTACATAAGACCTTCAAATGTGTATACCAAAAGCACATAAAAATATCTACCAAGGCAACTTGAGTTGTTGAGTTATTGGTCAGAAATGGTCATGAAGTACAAGGTCACTATGACATTGACCCCTTGACCCCAAAATCAATAGGGGTCATCTACTGGTCATGACCAATCATCATACCAAGTTTGAAGTTCCAAGGACTAAGGGTTCTTTAGTTATTGATCGGAAACCGTTTTAACCTACAAGGTCAATGTGACCTTGACCTTTGACCCCAAAATCAATGGGGGTCATCTGCTGGTCATGACCAATCATCTTACCAACTTTGAAGTCTCTAGGCCTAAGGGTTCTTTAGTTATTGATCGGAAACCATTTTTACCTACAAGATCAATGTGACCTTGACCTTTGACCCCTTGACCCCAAAATCAATAGGGGTCATCTGCTGGTCATGACCAATCATCATACCAAGTTTGAAGTTACTAGGCCTAAGCGTTCTTTAGTTATTGATCTGAAACTGTTTTTACCTACAAGGTCAATGTGACCTTGACCTTTGACCCCTTGACCCCAAAATCAATAGGGGTCATCTGCTGGTCATGACCAATCACCATACCAAGTTTGAAGTTCTTAGGCCTAAGGGTCCTTTAGTTATTGATCGGAAACCGTTTTTACCTACAAGGTCAATGTGACCTTAACCTTTGACCCCTTAACCCCAAAATCAATATGGGTCATCTGCTGGTCATGACCAATCACCATACCAAGTTTGAAGTACCTAGTCCTAAGGGTTCTTGAGTTATTGATCGGAAACCCTTTTTACCTAAGAGGTCAATGTGACCTCGACCTTTGACCCCTTGACCCCAAAATCAATAGGGGTCATCTACTGATCATGACCAATCACCATATCAAGTTTGAAGTCCCTAGGCCTAAGTGTTCTTTAGTTATTGATCGGAAACCGTTTTCATCTACAAGGTCAATGTGACCTTGACCTTTGACCCCTTAATCCCAAAATCAATAGGGGTCATCTGCTGGTCATGACCAATCACCATACCAAGTTTGAAGTTCCTAGGCCTAAGGGTTCTTTAGTTATTGATCGGAAACCGTTTTTACCCAAGAGGTCAATGTGACCTTGACCTTTGACCCTTTGACCCCAAAATCAATAGGGGTCATCTACTGGTCATGACCAATCACCATACCAAGTTTGAAGTTCCTAAGCCTAAATGTTCTTTAGTTATCACTCAGAAACCATTTGGTCTACGGACCGACGGACCAACAGACCGACAAGTGCAAAGCAATATATCCCCTCTTCTTCGAAGTGGGGGCATAATTATCTTTCATTGTACTGAGCATTTGTTAATGTTTATTTCCATAAAATAGTACAGAAACTTATATTATTTACATACTTGGCTTTTGTAAATTTATAAAGTAATTTCATTTTTCCCCAGCTTTGTGCTGTATAATAACAGTATCATAAATTTTTGACAAGATATATGGTTGTGTATATATGGCTGTTTGTAATATAACCCTAACCTAATGGTTCAAGCAATATAAGCCTACAATCATTTATACTGGAACCTTTATGCCATATAACCACTCAAAGAAATATTACTATGATAATCAATGTTTTACAAAAATATAAAAGCTTCCTGTTGTAACATGCTCACAGTTAAATAAGACACCAATCTTTTCTTCATAGGAAAACAAAGTTTCAAAAAGCAACAAAAATACTAATTAAAAGTAGCCTTCATCATCATTCACTATCCACAAAGCCTCTACAGAAACAATATTTAAGGTAGTCCTTCTGAAATGCTTTCCCTCCAAAAAAATTTTGACATCAGCCAATGTCGCAATAAATCGGTCTTTTCCAGAACGTTATTTTTTACATTCTTTGTTATTCAATAAATCCAAGCCATTCATAACCTGAATTTACTACATATAAATAAGGACATTGAGTACATATCAATAAGGAATGAGTGATAGTAAATAATCTAATATCTAAGATTTTGAAAAAATAACTTTTCGGAAATAACCGATTTGCTACGATATTGGCCGATTTTAGAATTTTTTAGCGAAAAGCATTACAGTATGACTACCTTAGCTCCTCATCCTTTGGCCAAATCACGTATAGATATTTAGAGTCCCATTAAGTGTCACATCACTGCATGATACTTTTAATATAATAAAATTGACCAATGACAGATTTTTAAAAAAATTCCTACAACTTTTCATAAAATGAAAAATAAATATACTCACTAATAGCCAGCATTCCAATTTCCAGGTTACCAGACATTTCACTCTTTATAACCTTTTCAATGTCTCGGCCAGAGATTCTTGAGTATGCATCAAATACAGCCCTCAGCTGCTCGTAACTTTGTGACGCCATGATTATATTAAACTGTGACTCGTCCGTACCCCATCTCTTCTCTCCAGCTTGATATAGGGCCTGTGGAAATATAATTGTTTTTATTCAATGTCACATTATTGTTAAGTTCAAAGTTTAATCAATTAATTTTTTTCTCTAAAATTTGGCAATTTTCCAGCTTTTATTAACATACTTCACAAAAGTCGACAGATTCTCCTAAAACAACTATAGCTGACTTAGTCTGGTTCACTGTACATTATCCCATTAACAGACTGGCACCTTTACACCATTCCTGGCCTATTGCTAAAGTTGAACCTAACATATTTCATTGAACATGTATATTTCACATAGTTCATAGGTAGTGAGCCTAAAAATGTTGTTGTCCCCCAATGTGGTGGCCATGGGAGGTAATAATTTGCTGTGTGAAAAGCATCTATATCATCTTTACCATGATTGATAACATTCCCATTAAATTATACCAATGATTATTTACGTAAAATATGTCCTTAAATGATTTTTTGATTGATTGGTAGGTTTTACCATCAGTTTAACATTAGTTCAGTTATATATATGACAAGCATTTAGTGATTTTTGGCGCTGTGCCAGTATTAATCTGTTAGGAATTGCAAACTTATCTACATAATCACTATAATTAAACTATTAGCAAATACAGTGAAGATTGAATGGTATCAGACATTTTGTCAGTGAAAATGTCACAGAAAATACATGTGACATTTCTAGCATATAAAACCAACAAAATAAAATTATAGAGACCTAACTCTCTCATTGCTGAAACTTATCCTACAGATTTTTTTAAATTTCATGAAATGTCAAAGGCCTCCATCATTACAGGGTCTATATAGATTCTGCTGGTCAAAATACAAAAATTCTACAACTGACCTGCTGCTTATGAAACTGCCTTTGCAACATTATTTAAAATTCCCACATATTTTATGCATTATCTCTCGGTTTATAGATTTAGATTCAATATAGTTATGCAAACTGATGATTTTATATAAATATATAGAGGAGATTACATACTTGAGCATCAGAATTAGCTTTGTTCATGTCTACAGCCTGGTTCTCCATTCTTCCACCCTAAATAAATAAATAAAAAAAAACATACAAAATACAAATAACTATCATGTACATAACTATATGTTGTCACACAGTTCTTACATATGCTTTCAAATATCACTGCAATTTTAATGGAATTATAATCTTAAATTGCAAGATTGAAAAGTACATTGTATCAAAATCCCTTTAATTCAAATGTTGAAACCATTAGGAAATACAAATATTTATTTTTCTCTATTATATGGCCACACAGTCTGCAAAGGTCATACAAAAGTTTCATCACATCAGCTTTCCAATGTACATATTTTCAGGCACAATCAGGTGCCTGAGTAAATTCTATAATCTTTCTTAAGCTATATGAATAGTATTCTGATGTCACATAAAGAATCCATTATTACTAGCGGGAATTGTTAATTAGTAGTGAGGGGCCAAGACTTAGAACATCATGTAAAGCAATTAAACTTAAGAGACTTCACATCTTATGCTAGTGTAAAACTTAAGGTAATATATAATAAAACATGTTTATTCACACACTTACATTTGCCATGGAGACCATGAGTCGTTTGAAATGACCTGATGTATCACTTATAATGTCTTTTTCTAATTTCTGCCTGTACACTGAAATTATAATATTAAACAATTAAGAAAACACTTAATGAAACATAATAAACATTAATGTCATCTGATATGCAGCCAAATTTATGTTAAACACCATCTTTTACCCTTACCTGGCCCAATATTTTTAATGGACTTGTCCATCTTTCAATCTGGACAAGAATGTTCCTTATTTTCGAGAAAAATTTCAAATTATGAACAAACGGAATAACAAACTGTGCAGACCAAAATCAGATGGCACAGCTAAGCTGGCTGGCGTTGGTTGACACTTGTTGCATGGAGTAGATTCTGTAGCAGGTAGCAGGTCTAAGAGTTACAGGAAGAATATCTGTAGTAAATATGGCATGAATCGTTGCCAACATTTTAGTGAGTTTTTTTTAATTGTTCAGGATTACCTTTTTCAGAAACACTTTCTTTCAATAAAGCTTTTTAAGTTATCAACTTCCATAGTGAAGTAAAACAATAAAATAATAACAATGTTGCCATTCATCAAGAGATATTATTTACATTTGAAAGCCAATCTGGATGTCCTTGATATTTTACTAGACTAAATGTACTAACAGTAAATTGCATTATTTTGATCCTACAATCCCTTAAACTAATAATGGATAGTTCAAAATCAACACTGGACTAGTTCATTATACAAAATTAGCATAAGAAAGGTTAATTTATACGAAATTTTTTCTAGATTGATTGTGTAATAAGCTATATATACACTTATTGAAACACTCACAAATCCGTTCCTGGAACCAATCAGTACTTAGCAATAAGTGTAAAGTGTCTTGCTCACTGAAGCAACCACTTGCCCCTGACTGGGTTGAAACCCACATGGCCAGCAATCCTTAGATTACTATTCTGTTGTGTTAACCACCCGGCCATGCTTCCACTTACAGAATAGGAAGATAAAAAGAGATTACACAGGTACAATAGCACTTACTTCTTTGGTATGCTTCATTGATTCTCTGTATTTGTGCATTACTTCTAGAACACAAAATCTCAATCATAGCATCTTCATCTGTACCAATACCCTGAAAATATATATCATTTATATATACATATTTGTGTATCCAGAATGAATGGTTCTTAATGGGTACCTCTGGGATTTGGTTATTCTGTTTCAAAATAGATGTATGATTTAAAATAGAATATTACATAAAGTTTTAATATTACTTCATGACTTTTAATGAGGTTGGAATCATGACCCCATTTTTTTTGAAAACTGATCAAATGTCAAACCACCTCTGGAATATGCATTACCCCTTGTTGACATTTGGTTCTTCTTCTGGTAACTAAATCCTGGATCCTGTGTGCAAATAGGTTACTATTTCCAGTGAACTTTCCTTCAGTTAGACAATTTATTGTTTAAGAGAATTTGTTCACTGTTTCAGTTGGTTGTTAGAGTGAAAACCAACAGTAATTCTTTGTAGACTTATCAACATTTATGTTAGCGGGTAATAACTCTAGTTGATATTTTGAAAGAGCAACAGCTAATTGGCTTTAATTTGCAGTCAAGACAACTTAACAAATGAACTTTTAGTTTTAGGTTACAATCACACTGTTAAGGTCAGAGCTATGATGAGATTTCATCTTAAATATTGGAGGGGCACTTAAAGTAAAGTGCCCTTATTATACATGTACATTAATTCTGACAATGTAGGGCTTAAAGTAGAACTACTGATCTCTTTAAAGTAAAGAGGACAGCTTTCATACTGGAAATAAAAGAAATTCAAACTTGTAACAGTGAAGAGTTCAAGTAATTGTAAGTCAATGACCATAACAATTGCACCGGAGAGGCCTATTTCAATACTTTAAACTGCATGCCTCCAGATGAGCCAAAATATTTCAAGAAAATTAAATTTGAGAAAATTCTGCTGACATGTTAAGGAACGAAGAATGTTTCAAGATTCATTTTTTTTTTTTTTAAATTGCGTTTATTTAAGGTCTCCGGCAAAAAGCCCATATGGGCGACCGTACACTCAAGTCGGGCCATCCTAGAGCTTCCCGCCCAGATTTTTTTGTCGATTTTTTCCAGCTTTATTGGTGGAGGAAGACCCCAGGTGCCCCTCCAGGCATTATTTCAGGCACATTGGCACCTGGGTAGAACCACCGACCTTCCTTAAGCCAGCTGAATGGCTTCCTCACATGAAAGATTTCGACCCGAGTGAGGATCGAACCTACAGCGGTGAGGGACCTGTGATCTCAAGTCAGCGACCTTAACCACTCGGCTATGGAGGCCCCCTCAAGATTCAAATAATGATTTACATGTTATATGCGATTAAGGGCTGATTAAAGCGGTATCTATCACCATATTTCTACTGTGTTACGTACGTAGTAAGGGCTAATTTTGCTTATTTAGAACTCTTTTTTTTTTGGTAATTTATGTAGATTGAAAGAGCTGTTTGCAATGTGTAAATTATTTTTCTTTGTTCACTTGACAATATTTCACTTTTAAATTCATTTTTGTATGAAAAAAGTAACATGAATCTGGAGGCATGCTGCTTTAAAGGAATCTAAATTAAATGTTTCTTACTATCACTTACCCTCATTGCTCTCTTGAGTTCATAGGCATCAAATTCTTCAGGTGTCATCATTAAACCAATTATAACATCCTCAAACTTTCCACCTAACTCACTCTTTAATTCTTGAATCAAATCCTATGATAAAATATGATAGTTGAGAAATATGTCAGAACAGCTAGTGATATTTACTTAAAGTTACATTTAGCAATTAATACATAGATGATGTATGTATATTCTATATTTTCCTTTATGCTGAATAAGGCATTAAAAAAGCTAAAAACATATTAATTTCATTCAGTCAACAAAACTATTTAATCCATAAGGCTCAAGTTGACTCCAACATTCAGTATTTGTGAAAATGCTTACATGTGTGTAGACATTAATAACACAGTGTAATAATCAAATCAAAACTCCACTCAACTGTTATGTTTAATAAAAACTACTTTTAGATCAGTAGATCAGTAGTTTTAATGCCAGACAAAACTATCTCAGTAATACAAAATCCATTCAGTTTCATATTTTCAAATTTTACAAAATCCATTCAGTTTCATATTTTCAAATCTTCTTTTATATGATCAATATGCAAATGATAAATCTCATATTTTACCTTTCCAAAGCAAGTTTTAAACATTTTTTTAATATCCTGTCTCTGACTATTTGTTCTATAAGCCAATATGTCAATAATGGCCTTCTCATCAGTGCCTGAAAATATGCAGAAATATGTGAATGCATATGTGTATATTGTGAAATGTGTAAGTTCAGTAACCCATAAAGGTGGCTTAATGGTATCTAAAATATGTATAGTTCTGAGTAGACTTTTTAAAATGATTGTCTTTGTTTTAGTATGGTTACAAATAATAATAATTATATATTATTGTAAGTACTTTAATGTCAGTAGCGAATTTACTTAGAAAAGTAAGGCACTATACTCTTGACTGTATTTAAACATTACTGGTGTCATATTAGCAAGGCTTGAACCAAACTAATCTACTTCAATAGACTTACTCCGGAATTAAGAAAATTTTGCATTTTCCCAGCTAATCTGTAGGTGTAACAAGCTTATAGAGTTCGAAAATAAGCATAAAAGGTTGACCTGGAAGTCCATCGTGAAGTGATAATAGTTAAAGTTTGTACCTATGGATTAGCTGGGGAAAACCCATACTTGCTGAGTTCCGGATAACATGTATTTAAAGCCTTGTTCCAATCCTTACTTCATACATTAAAATATAACTAGATATGTTTAGACAATTTTCAATATTAAACCCTAAGCCCTACTGGAGGTAAATGATTCTACACATGTAACCAGTGACAAACCAAGATTAACTGTCTGATTATGATCTGCACTGTTCATTATTCAGTCACCACATACCAGTATTTTGAAGAAAAAAAAAAGACCTACAGCTGACAATTATTCTCAAGGGCATGTCTCTATTTCTACATTCAATGCATTCTGCATAAATAAGTTAATTACAGTTTACTATTTTACCTAATTCACCTAATTAAGGCTAAATTATTCATAAGTTTTGCAACACTAACATACAGTTTGATAAATTAACTACAATTCAGACATGTCAACTAAGCTATTAGTGAAAGTTTAACTAATGAGTTACACTAATTACTTATATTTAGGCCTCTTAAAAAAGTACTTGTTTTCAGTCTCCCAACACAACTTTACCAATATAGGTAGTCCAATCAGTTCAACACATCAAAAAACTAAATACACATAATTTGTATGATAAGCAAAATTTTCAGATCACCCTAAAACATACTTTTCTGATAATAGTTAATACTTTTTTGAAATTTACATGATATTGCGATGTAAGTAATGTAATTGGCTTAACTTGCAACTAAATAAAAAGTGGATTAAAAGTTGCACCAATCTCTTTCAATTCTGCAATAAGATACTGCCTTATTAATGTCCTATCTTTTCTTCATGCATTGAAATACAGTGGGTGCACAGTAAACAAACTGTATAACAAGTTTGGCCTAAAATTACTCTATAAACATCTTCTCATAAACAAGAGGGTCATGATGGCCCTAGATCGCTCACCTGACTTATCAAACTCATCCAAACAATTACATAGACAAGCATTCTGACCAAGTCTCATGACAGGTGAGTCAAAAATGTGACCACTACAGTGTTAACAAGGATTAACCATATTTGAGCAGTGCGACCTAGTTTTTTACCCAGGTAACACATATTCAAACTTGACCTAGAAATCATCAAAACAAACTTTCAGACCAATTTCCAGGATACTTGGATCAAAACAGTAGCAACTAGAATGTTAACAAGATTTTTCTATTTTTAGCACATGCGATTTCGAACTCATCCAAGCAATTACCTAGACAAGCATCCTGACCAAGTTTGATGATAATTGAGTCGAAAATGTGACCACTAGAATGTTAACAAGGTTTTTCCATATTTGGGCGGTGTGACCTAGTTTTTCATCCAAGATGACCCATGTTCGATCTTGACTTAGAAATCATCAAAACAAACTTTCAGACCAATTAACAGAATATTTGGATCACAACAGTAGCCACTAGAGTGTTAACAAGATTTTTTCTATTTTTAGCTCCTGTGACCTAGTTTTTTCATCCGAGATGTCCATGTTTCGATTTATTCCCAGCAATGACCTAGACAAGTTTCCTGACCAAGTTTGATGACAATTGAGTCAAAATTGTGACCACTAGAGTGTTAACAAGGCTTTTCTTTTTTAGCTCCGGTGACCTACTTTTTCATCCGAGATGACCCATGTTCGAACTCATCCGAGCTATCACCTAGACAAGCATCTTGATCAAGTTTGATGATGATTGATGCAAAAATGTGACCGCTAGAGTGTTAACAAGGTTTTTCTATTTTTAGCTCCGGTGACATAGTTTTTCATTCGAGATGACCCATGTTCAAACTCATCCGAGCTATCACCTAGACAAACATCTTGACAAAGTTTGATGATGACTGATGCAAAAATATGAACGCTAGAGTGTTAACAATGTTTTTCTATTTTTAGCTCCGGTGACCTACTTTTTCATCCGAGATGACCCATGTTCGAACTCATCCAAGCTATCAACTAGATAAGCATCCTGACCAAGTTTGATGATGATTGATGCAAAAATATGACCGCTAGAGTGTTAACAAGGTTTTTCTATTAATAGCTCCGGTGACCTAGTTTTTCATCCAAGATGACCCATATTCGAACTCATCCGAGCTATTATCTAAACAAGCATCCTGACAAAGTTTGATGATGATTGGGTCAAAACTGTGACCACTAGAATGTTCACGAGGTTTTTCTATTTTTAGCTCCTGTGACCTAGTTTTTCATCAGAGATGACCCATGTTCGAACTCATCCAAGCAATTGACTAGACAAGCAATCTGACCAAGTTTGATGAAGATTGGTTCAAAAATGTGACCACTAGAGTGTTCACAAGGTTTTTCTATTTATAGCTCCTGTGACCTACTTTTTCATCCGAGATGACCCATGTTCGAACTCATCCGAGCTATCACCTAAACAAACATCCTGACCAAGTTTGATGATGATTGGGTCAAAAATGTGACCTCTAGAGTGTTCACAAGGTTTTTCTATTTTTAGCTCTTGTGACCTAGTTTTCATCCGAGATGACCCATGTTCGAACTCATCCGAGCTTTCAACTAGATAAGCATCCTGACCAAGTTTGATGATGATTGAGGCAAAAATGCGACCGCTAGAGTGTTCACAAGCAAATGTGGACGGACGGACGGACGACGGACATTCACCGATCCTAAAAGCTCACCCTGAGCAAGCTCAGGTGAGCTAAAAAGCAACAATCTGGTATTTTACTGTCCTACTAAAAGTTGTTAGGTAGCTGTACAGTTGTTATTTTTAGAATTCAACATATAAAATTATCTACAATGTACAGTAAATAGGTACATTCTTATACCAAAAGTAGGTTGTTTTTTTTACTTTTTATTTTTTGTTTTTGTAACTTTAAAAAAAAAACTTTTCCAATTATATACTATGTTCATTTCCAATTTGGTTTGATTTTTAAAATTGCTGCCTGATTATGGTCTGCAAAGTTCCCAATTCAGTCAGTAGTTATTTTAAAATTTTCCCTAACAATGATGAAATTAAAAACAAGAGGGCCATGATGGCCCTGGATCGCTCACCTGACACAACCGCATCCAAGCAATGTCTTAAACAAGCATCATGGCCAAGTTTGATGACAACTGAGTCAAACATGTGACCTCTAGTGTGTTATAAAGATTTTTCCATATTTGGGCAATGTGACCTAATTTTTGACCGGACACGACACATATTCAAACTTGACCTAGAAATCATCAAAACAACCTTCCTGACCAATTTCCAGGAAATTTGGATCAAAACTGCAGCCACTAGCGTGTTAAAATTTTTTTTCTATTTTTAGCTCCTGTGACCTAGTTTTTGACCGGACATGACCAATCTTAGCACTTGACCCAGAAATCATCAAAACAACCTTCCTGTCAAATTTCCAGAATATTTTAATCAAAACTGCAGCCACTAGAGTGTAAACAAGCTTTTTCTATTTTTAGCTCCTGTGACCTAGTTTTTGACCGGAGATGACCCATCTTCGAACTTCACCTAGATATCATCAAAACAACCTTCCTGACAAATTTCCAGAATATTTGGATGAAAACTGCAGCCACTAGAGTGTTAACAAGTTTTTTCTATTTTTACT